TGCAGTCCCCCTGAAATGCCACCAGAGTGCTGGAGCCTCTCTCTGATTTTTAACCAAGTCAGCCACAGAAGGGGGAGGAACAACATTTCGGGGGGAGAACAAAAGGAGCAGCTTTTGAGGGAGTTAGGGCTTGATTTAAGGGGAGAGATAGGGAGTAGGATGGGATTTGACTGAGGGAGAACTGGTTCTGAGTTGTTAAATATCCACACTGAGGAAACTATCCATAGCAAGAGGACAGAGCCCCGAAGCTTGGATAGGGGGACAGTGTTGAGGGCCTTGGAAAGGTAGGATGCAGGTGGCGCTGTGGTCTAAACTACTGAGCCTCTTGGGCTTGCCGATCAGAAGGTCGGTGGTTTGAATCCGATCAAAGGTGGTGAACTCCCGTTGCTCTGTCCTAGCTCCTGCCAACCTAGCAGTTGGAAAGCACACCAGTGCAAGTAGATAAATAGGTACCACTGTGGCGGGAAGGTAAATGGCATTTCCATGTGCTCTGGCATTGCATACACCAGAAGCGGTTGAGCCATGCTGGCCACATGACCTGGAAAGCTATCTGTGGACAAATGCTGGTTCCGTTGGCCTGAAGCAAGATGAGAGCCACATCCCATAGTCACCTTTAACTGGACTTAACCGTCCAGGGGTCCTTTACCTTTTACCTCTGGGAAAGGTATACAGACAGGAGTGTTCTAGGAGGATTGTGACTGAACTGGGAGAGGTTGAACCTGTGGGTTTACAGGCTACCTGGGTCTCAGTATAGCCAGGAGGGGAGAGTTCTTCTAGGTACAGAAGATTCCAGAATCAGTAACAAGGGGTGAGGTGATGCCCTGGGTCTGTTATACCATTTGGAATACCTCAGATGTGGGATTGCTTAAAGAGTGTGTAACTGAGGGAAAGTGCACCTCACTCGTGAACCAAGCTATTAATCGGTGAAGGAAGCTCTATGGTCTTAAAAGTATTTAACTGTATTTAACTAAGTAACAGAAACTGAAGTATAACAACTGATTTTGAGTAAAGAGAGGTAAAGAGAAGCTGTGACTGTAACACTGTGTTTAAGCCTGAGTCATCTTATAGTTAGTTAAAGTAAATAAGTTAACTTCTACCTGAAAGACCGCATTTCCTGACCCACTTTGTTTCATAATCCCCCCCTTTTTTTGCTTAATAAGCTTTTCCTGTTTGTTTGAACATTTTCTGCCTGAGACTATAATCATTTAAGTTTTCTCTCACACAAGTCCCCCACTAGACATCCCATGGTAAATTTGTAAAACCTCATGTTCACTGGTGCACATTGAGGTGTGTGCACTACAGTGGTACCTCAGGTTACATACGCTTCAGGTTACAGACTCCACTAACCCAGAAATATTACCTTGGGTTAAGAACTTTGCTTCAGGATGAGAACAGAAATCGTGCAGCGGCGGCACAGCGGCAACAGGAGGCCCCATTAGCTAAAGTGGTGCTTCAGGTTAAGAACAGTTTCAGGTTAAGAACAGACCTCCAGAACGAATTAAGTTCTTAACCCGAGGTACCACTGTATATTGAATAGGGGGCAGTTAGCGGGGTGAGTCTGCCGCATTATTAATTGGTGATAAGCGGTTGGATCCGCTACAGTTGCCTCCTGGCTGTCCCCTTAATGCTATTGAAGACACCTACATTAGTTCTTTACATCCAGGCCCTCGTGTATTCAGAGCAGGACAGGGCTTTTCTTGCCACAGAATTCAAATTCTGTTTTTGTGTGTGTGCTGTTCAGTGTCTCATACTCAGGCTGCGGAGGTGGGAGAAATTTGGCTCAGTCCACATTTTAAATCAAGCATACCCAATTCCCACTTCCCCAAACCATACACAAACTGAAACCCAGATATCCTTTGAAATTCACACTTCTTCAAATTTTGTGATGCCCTTTGCCAGTCAAATAACATATACAAAAATGTGTGTGTTAGGGGAAAGTGTGTGTAAAAATGCAAGGGCAACGCGTTGGAGGCAAGTCAGGTGACATTGCAATGTGGCCACAGAGATGCCAGTGGTGGGGCAATTGTCTGGAGAACTGTTCCCCCCCCCTAAAAAAGTGTTGCTTTCTCCCTAAAAAAAAGGCTGAATAACTTTGCCCCCACCCCCTAAAAAAAGCACAACAACTTAGGGTTGCCTGTCAAAAAAAGTGGGAGTTCCTGCACCTTTTTTTTCTAGAAAATACGGTAAGCACTGGGCTCAGACTGTCTGTAATCCCATGGATGATCTTGAGGCTGCATTCCATTGAGGGGTCAAACTCTGCAATCAGATCATTTGTGTGCTTTTATGACTTAGAAGAGTTGAGAAAATTTCTGCAGGTTCCAGCTTGCTGGTTCATGCTCGCCATCCTCACCCCCATGTTCCCATTCTGAGTTTGATCCAGCCATTTCCTCCAGCTCTTCAGCAGTCAGTAACTGTTGGTCCTCAACTGGCGATTCCATTTCTTCCTGGATGAGCTCAACAAAGCCATCACTGCACTCTAATGAAGACTGCTGGCCATTTTTTCCTGCTCTCCTACCCCCTTTCCCCCCATATGTGCCATTTTCCTGCCATTTTCTCCCCCACCCCCACCCCCAGTGCATGCCATTTTTGCATCTTCTTTTCCCCTTGGTTGTGAGTTACCTGCACAGTGGTACCTTGGGTTACAGATGCTCCAGGTTACAGACTCCACTAACCCAGAAATAGTACCTCGGGTTAAGAACTTTGCTTCAGGATGAGAACAGAAATTGTGCAGCGGCAGTGCAGCGGCAGTGGGAGGCCCCATTTGCTAAAGTTAACCTCAGGTTAAGAACCTCAGGTTAAGAACAGTTTCAGGTTAAGAACGGACCTCCGGAAAGAATTAAGTTCTTAACCCGAGGTACCACTGTTGGGAAACTGTGTACATGCAGCTACTCACACAGAGTCAGTTAAGGTTTGGCAGACAGCCAGAAGGCAATCTGAAGGAGTAAGTCTGCCTGGTGATAACAGAGACATGGAGACCGCTCCCTGATTGGTCAAGCTCTCTCAAGGGAGTGATAATTAATGGCCTACTAACTGGAATGCGTAAGTTCGGAGTTCAGAGTTCTGTGTGTCAGTGTAGGAGTTGTGAGTCATATCAGAGAGAGCTAGCAAAAGATCCGTGTTCTGTTCCTGTAAATAGTCCACTGTATATAATAAACACCTAACTACAAGTTCCCGGTTCCTGCTTCGTCTATCCTATCTGCAGCCAAGTCGCCAATTGCTTCCGTGGATTCTGCGTGTACTCTGCTAGGTCTGGCTAAGGTCCTGCAACTAGTCAGAAAGTTGCAAAACACCAAATAGGTTTTGCCAATAACCACTGTATTCAGTGTGTCAGGTAAGAGTAGCAGAAGTCAGACATGCGCACACACACACTAGCTAACAACTACAATTGCTGAGGCAGTCCATTGCACCAAGATCCAGCTCCATGTCCTGCTGAATGTGAAGGACTTCAGATAACAGAAAGTAAAGGTGGTCTGGGGGGGGGGGGAGCCTACATCAACCAGGTGCTCTCCAGGTATTGTTGGACTCCAATTAACATTAACCTCAGCCAAGGTGGCCAGTGGTGAGGGATGATGGGCATTGTAGTCCAACAATGTCTAAAGGGTGCTAGGTTGAGGAAGGCTGTTTTTAAACCATAACTGAATGTTGATGCCGAAGTTGAAATAGCAGAAGGCTTGACACAGCTGGATTGAGAAATCATAAATGGCTGGTTGGTTGGTTGGTAGGTTGAGGGAGGGAGGTCAATAGCATTGGGGAAGCAACCTATGGCGATCTTAATCTGATGCTGCTACAGGTTTCTGTTTGGCTAATGTGATATAATAATAATAATAATAATAATAATAATGACCTTAATTGTATCTGGGTTAGAATAGTCACTATTTCGTCTTTGTTTCAGCTGCATAACTATTGTCTAGCTTCCTACCAAGGATATGAAAAGTAAAGCAATACAAAACTCAATCTCAGATGATGAACTAAAATGCAAAATTTGGTGTGAGTGCATAAATCTGCAAATTAATATGCAATATGTATAAATGGAAATATACAACTTTATTCTCTTCACAATCAATCAAATGTTCAAAGTGTCATCATTTGAAGCGTGCCATTATATAATTGTACCAGAATCTCAGCTGGTATGACCAGCCTATTGCGATAAAAGCCAGGTGGGATATTTACAACTGAAGAAGACCCTTTTGGGGTTGAAATGTGTTTGGTTCGCAATAATATTAATAGTCACGTGACCCCAGGCTTTTTGAAGAGCTATTTACATTCTAGTTTAAAGATAAAGAACCCTCAGGAGAGAGAGATATTCAGTGGCCTTCAAGTTCCCCACCCGCAGATAACACAGGGAGAGTAGAAAAGACCTGGCCACAGTCTTCTCTGATGCGAAGTATCTTTCTTTCTAAAGGATTTCAAAGCATTGCCACTATTTAATCTATATGTGTAAATTAGCATATGTAAGCATTCTGCAAATCTATCATGGACTCATAGAATTGTAGAGTTGGAAGGGATCATGTGGGTCATCTAGTCCAACCCCCTGAAATGCAGGATTTTTGCGCAAACCCACCACCTTGAGATTAAGAGCCTCATGCTCCACCAACTGAGCTCTCCTACTTGCCCTCTTTTTTTCCCCCTGGCCATGCATAAGCCATGTACCCTACCACAGGTAGAGAGCAGTTGTGCTCTGTGATTTTTAAACTGGCAATATATATATATATATTAGGGCACTAATTCATGGAGTAGCAAGCCCAGAAGGACCTATTACTGCAGCGTTGTCAGAAAGTTGCGCCTCTCCCTGGCTTCTCGGGCCTCCATCCTCGCACGTCCTATGTAAACAGCGCGAAGGTTTCCAGACTCCATCTGGTTCCAGTTACTCACTCAAAACACAAATACACATGCCTCAGGAATTTGCAGATGGACACCACTGTACTGCCGCATGAAATGCTTCGCAGAGTTCACGGCCCTCTTTGCCCCCGCCTCTCCTCCAGATGTACCTGCGAGGCTGAGGAAACAGTCAGAGGCGAGCCAGGTACGAAGCCGGCAGTGAGGCGCGAGAGCGCAGGCCCGGCTTCCTAACTCTCTGAGCTAAAGTTCATGACTAAAAATGGGTTTGTAGGGCGGTGAGAGGGGTGGGAAGGAAGAAGAAGAAGAAGAAATAAAACACCCTTGACCACCAAGGACAGCCTCTTCCTGAGAGCCCCTGTTCACACAAATACAGGAAGTAGAAAAGTAGCTCAATGCAGAAACACCACTTGGAAAGGGATTCTCATTTCGGAGTCGCCAGTGTTTTGGAACTACTGTGGTGAAAGCTCGGCTATCCTTCGCGTTGAATCCACCATCATTTGCACATATATATATTAGTTTTTTATTTTATTTGCCGGGCCGGTGTGGGGGAGAAGGAGAAGGGCGTGGACGCTTTTTTGTGAGGAAATGCCAAGGTATAACTTTCTTCACAAGGGAGACCTCAAACGGTTCTGAAGCGAGAAGCGCCTCCGCGCGCTTTGCTGAGAGGATGACAACATCGCTGGGAAACCGGGCAGCTGGGTGAGTCCTGAAACTTTTAGCGGCGGTACTTTTTTCCTCCTGAAGTAAAACAGCCGCTCTCTTTCCACTCTCCCTCTTTGAGAAGAAACTCCTTCCCTCCCTTAAATCCGCTTGCAGGCTGCACGGGAAGCTATCAGCTGTGCCGCCCCAATCACGATAATTCACAGCCTTTTTCCTTGGGTGAATGCTAATAATTGCCTCTTTGAAACAACAGGAGCTTTTCTTTTCTTTTTGCACAGGGTGCTGTGGGGGGAGAAGGAAATGAAAATACTCTGAGGAGGAGAGGGGAGGGGGGAACGAGCTGTTTCCATGCTGCCTGTCGTGCGTATCTGGAAACATGGCAAACCTTTTCCATAAATCCTGAGGGGCAACAGGCTTCGATTTTCCCCCCAGCTGTGTCACACAGATGTGGCTGAAAAGGGGGGAGCTTTCTTTTTTCTTTTTGGCTTGCTCTGCTGCTGTCCCTTTATCAGCATCTCAGAACATGCAGATTAAAACAGGTGATGTTTTATCCATCATGTCAGCTCCATGGTAATAATAATAATAATAAGCTCAGGGTGGCTAACACCAGTAAAATTACAATAAAAACATAATAGAAAAAAACACAATTTAAAATACAGGTTAAAATGCAATTTAAAATGCAGCCTCATTTTAAAAGTAGCCCATAAATCAAAACCGTAAGGGGAGGGAAACAGAAGGGTCAGACTGAGTCCAAACCAAAGGCCAGGCGGAACAGCTCTGTCTTGCAGGCCTTGCGGAAAGATGTCAAGTCCCGCAAGATAAGCTTCACCTGTTTCTGCATGCCAGGCTGCCAGACATTTTGCTGCCTGAGAGGGACAATATGGTGCCGCCTCCTATTCCATGTGCAAAGCCTGACTGGGCTGGCGACCGAACCTTCCTTCTACATTGGCAACAGGACAGCATCTTTTTCTGTACCTGTAGGAGGAGGGCCTATAGGGGCAAGCACCCCAAAACAAGGAGCTTACTACCCCCCCACTTGCCCCCCCACATTTCCGAACTCCTGTCATTAACACATGCTGTTATTTTTTCTCTCTCACTCACCTATAAATATACTTTGCCCCTTCTGTGCCCCCCCTGAATTTATTCCCCTGGTGCTGCCACTGCCAGGGTAGACCACACAACATACAACACACATCAACACCTCACGACTCCTATCCACCCTTCAGCATCTGCCACCCGAGGCAGCTGCCTCACTCTGCCTAATGGTAGGAAGAAGACAAACTGGCAACCCTAAAGAACAATTCCATACAGCATGATGCTGAGAGACAGAGAAACGTGTGGTCCAGGAAATATAGACAGATATAACAATGTAAGAGTTGCTACTCTGCATGCAAACATAGATTTGGATCTCCTGAAATATGTTATGCTGCATTTGAATGAGGGAGAAAGCAGTTACCTGTTGGTTAATATCACCCACTCAACACATCCAGTCCCCTCCAGAGCAGTTTGGGCAACTCCTTAAAAAATGTATGTGAGTTGTTTTCACTAGATGAATCATGAATATATATATATGCAAATAAACATACAAGTGCCACATTAAGGAGGAAAGCCTGCTGAATACATTGCAGCATGGGCAAAGCTGAGGCTGGACATGCATGTATCTAGGACAGCTTGGAAGGCCATGCTCACGCCATGGGTGAAGAACCTGCTGTGAGTGCCCTTAAAGTCATGGGTAACTTTTTACCTCCCCAGGACATTTTGGGTAACTCCCTTTGCTTAATTCTGGGGTTTCTAGGGCTGGCCCAGCTGAGTTTCCCTCCATGGGTTTTGCTGTAGTGGAACATAAGCAGTGCAGACCCTGCTGTTGTGCAGCTTGTTTTTCTGCGCTCCTTCTAAGAGGTGCCCCAGCAGGAAAGGCCTTTACCTGGAATCCTTCCCACATAGTGTGATTCTGCCAAGACAGCAGCACAGGAAGCCACTGTCTGTATATGTTTTAAAAGGCAGAGATCCAGGGATTTTTCAATATCCTGAATGAGTTAAGAAGAAAAATCCAGTTCTTATAATCACGGAGACATCTACTGAACGGTGCTGCATAAAAAAGTGGGGAGGCAGAGAAGAGGCAATGTACATTTCTCGGTGGACAAGAGAGAGAAATAACAGTATATGGGTTAAAGAGAGAATTGCACGCAGATGAAGGTGATTGACAGTGGGTGAAGGACTCTGTGTGAGAAGCTGGGAAGGGGAGATCTCCCAGGGAAAGAGGCTGGGGGAAGAAAGGGGTGCTCCCAGGTGAGAGCTGGGAGGGTTGCACCTTTTTCTGTATGGGATAAAAGTTAAGATATTTGTATTCGTCTGTCCCCTCCCTCCCTCCCTTTTGTGTGTAGATTAGTTTTTTATTATATTATGAAAAGTCTTAATAAAACTATCAATAACAAAAGAAAAATAACAGCATATGCAAACGATAGGAGTTCAGAAACGGGGAGGCAAGTGGTGGGGGCAAACTCATTGACTGGGGGGGCACTTGCTCCATGCCCCACTCTGGTCCTGCCTATGATCTACACCATGCCCTTATTGTCTCCCCATACAGCACCCATCAGTGCCAATCATCAGAGATGATGTGAGTTGCAGGCGAAAACATCTAGAGTGCACTTGATTGAGGAAGGCTGCCGTGCATATAAGCAGAGGTGGCCTTTCCCATTTCGCAGGGGAATTGCTGCCTCCTGGCCCCATTCATCACACTCCACTTCTGCCGCCACACCCTGGTTCTTGCAGATCTTGGTGGGAGCTAAGATGCTCTTCCAAGTGTTTGCTGCTCATTTGGCTGCTTTGCCCGGAGCAGGAAAGATGAGCAGCAACACCATGCGCCAGATTGCCTCCCTCTCGGTGGCCGAAGTGGCAGGGTGAGTGGAGCATCGCCTCTCAGACTTCTGCCACCCAAGGCAGGCACTTCACCCTGCATCACAGGCGGGCCGGTTCCTGCTTCAAGCAGGAGGTACCTGCAGCAAATGGACTTACTAGCCAATTCCATGCTCTGTGTTGGCAATTTTCCTCCAAAGCCTAGGGCAGTTATTGGGAAACAAAATGTGTGAGGGATTATTGAAGGAGGTGGGTGGCTGGACTGATCATACATCCCTCCAAGAAGCTGGTTATACCCCTCCAAAAAGTAACTCAGGATGGTTCCATATGCCAGCTTTTCCCACTGCATGTAGATGTGTTTGTAATCATAGCAATCTGCGATCCACATGGCGTTTGGATACTCGGGGAGAGTCAGATGCACAAACAGCTCGGTAACCACAGCTATAGCGTGCAGAACTGGAGTGAGTAAGGAAGCATGTGTTCTGGAGAAAAAGGGGAAAAAGTGAGTCTCAAAATAGATTTCTTTTTTTATAATCAGATTTTTGAAAGCCAACCTTGGGGTTTTTTTTTGTTTTTTTTTAGGGATCTTGACTCATGATTTTGTGACCAGGCCATGATTATTACATGACCCCCATGAGATACTGTACAGTCTGAAAGCATTTAATTTATATGATTTGCTTCAATGGGGCTAGGATGCTCGGTTTATTGCTATAAGAGTTATTAAATGAGGAGACACTGCTTGTGAACAAAGACAGCTTTGGGGTGTCATGTAAGGCAGATTCACACATTGCATTAAATGAGTGTAGAGCCTGTTCTCCTGTATAACAATACTGTAGTTGAGCTGTACAAATCAACAAATGTATACTCTTTCACACAAATATTTTTACAGGCAAGCACCTACCTGTGTTCAGTGTAACAAGTGGACAAGCCTATCGTATACATCAGTCTGCATTTATTTCTGTCAAACCCCCTGACAGTGAACCTAAAAGTTGTTCCTTTTTTCCTACTAATGACAATCAAGGGAAGATGATGTCACTGTTCAAAATCTTGGTTAACCATGTGGAAAAACATGTCATGCCAGCCCTTACAAGGATCTCTTATCTTTTGTTCACACCCTGGGTTGCTATTTCCCCTGCAAAGGGGAAATATCCAGATATAGCATGGCTAAGCTCACAGGGGGAAAGCCTGTGCTGACAGAGAAAGAACGGAAACAAATTCTTATGCTTGAGATATCAGGATAAACTGCACTTCCTGGCTTCACTTAGCAACACAGAACACAAAAAGTGAGATTATTGCAACAGACAATATATTCTTGCAATGAGCAAGAGTCTTTCCTTTATGAAATTTTTTGGTTCCCCTTCTCCAGAAATGTCAGCTCAGCTTGCATGAGGGAGAGGGCAAAAAAAGGAAGAAAATATAGCTCCAAGGCCTGCTCTTGGAAATCAAATGGCAAAGAATGAATTCACAGCAGGACAGTGTACACACCATACATTAAAATGAACCCCTTGAATCCTGTGAACCGTAGTTTACTCACCACACCACAAAGCTAAAATTCCCCAGCACCCTTAACAAACCACAATCCCCAGGATTCTTGGGGTGTGCGGGCTTTGAACATATGGTGTCTACACAGCTTAATATGTTACTGTGTACAAAGAACATTTGTCATGGCTGCTTTTTATGGTAGGTTGTATTCAACTAACTGAGTCAGAATAGACCCAGTAAACTTATTAAACCTAAGTAAGTCATGTCTGTTCTTTTCAATGGTTCTTCTCTGAGTATGACTAACATTGGCGACAACCCAATAACTGTAGCAATGTTATCAATGCAGGTAAAATTGTTACCCCACCACCACCTTTTTTTAACGCAAAGGGATAATTCTTAGACCATACGCAGCACTATCCCAAGTATGTTTACTCAGAAGTAAATGAGACTTTGGTGGCTTCCAGACTGTCACTACCTCCGGATGGGATTCAATAACATATCAGCAAATTCAGGTTGCACAGTTATATTGGATTGGGAGGTCTTGCACAACAGCTCCCCCTTCCCCAAAGATCAGACTTTTTGCTTTAAGGAAAGTGGTGGGGAAATCCACTGGGAAGTGTGGATAACACTTGCTTTGATGCAGCAGAAACCTCCCTCAAACAAACTGGAACAAATGCACATTAAATGGCCAACTTTGTCTAATCTCCCTACAGATAAATCAGGAAGAATGATCAATAAATTGGTTGTCTGGAAGTGCCCCAAGTCTTAGTGGTGGAGAATCTTCCTTGTATGCAGAAGGTCCCAGGTTCAGTCCTCAGCTTCTCCAGAAAGGGCTGGGACTATTCCTGCATTGCAGGGGGCTGGACTAAATAACCCTTTGGGTCCCTTCCAGCTCTACGATTCTATGATACCAAGTATGTTTGTACACCAATAATGACATAGGCTGCAATCCTGCACAAAGATTGAATGAGTCTCATTGATTTCAATGGTTTTAAGCAACCTTAGTGTAAAGTGTGCAGCACATCTCTCTCTCTCTCTCTCTCTCTCTCTCTCACTCACTCACACACACACACACACACACACACACACACAATTTACCCACATGCATGTGCTGTTTACACATAACTGCTGATGGTTTCATCATAGGGTAGACAGGTGGTATGATACATTTTTACCTGGGTGTGCAAATTAATTCCACTGTCTCATCTCTGCCCACTGGTCTTTCTTGTCATGCTTCAGACCCTGCAGATTTCACCAGAATTGACAGTGTGAAGAGTATGTACAGTGTAGGAGAAATTTCCATTTTCAATCATTTCCAATTAAGCCCACACTGCATGTTTGAGGCTATGCACCAGATTCACCACTGTTAATGTTCCAGACCCCGAGGGACAATTTGCCGTTTGTTCTTTGGCTTGTTGTATCTGGAAAGAAGCCACATGTTAGCAAATCAAACGTTTTGGTCTCAGTCTGGAGCGATTTTATTTTATTTTACTTCCCAGACTGTACATGCAGTGTCGGGAATATATTAATGCTGACAGAAACAAAGCTAGCTTCGGGAATTCTGCCAAACATGTTTGTCTAATGTAACATAACATGGGCACGAAAAATGTACAGGGAACTTTTCCACATCTCTCAGCCCGGTAGAGTTGGCCATTGATGCATCTCTAAAAAAAGAAGAGAGTCAGATTTGCCCAAAAGAAATAGCTGCTATGATTTTAAACAGGAATATAGAAAGCCAACCCCAATTGCCTGTCTAGCTCAGTATTGTCTACACTGGCAGGCAGCAGCTCTCCATCGTTTCAGACAAGGGAGTCCCTCCCAGCCCTACACGGAGGTGCCAGGGGTTGAACCTGGGACCTTCTGTGTGCAAAGCTGTGAAAAGATGGTGCTCAAGTCAAAAGAAGCAGGATGTCCTTGGTCTAGATCCAATGCTCTCAAGACTGTATGATGGGCAACTCACTTCCACCATGGGGCATAATTTGATAAACACCAACCTTGGAAGAATAACATCAGAGCATCAGCATGGAAAACTGGTTCCCCTTTCTAAGCTAAAGCCTGGTTTCAAATGATGGGTTTGAAACACAATGGTAGAGCACATACATTGTATGCAGAATGTACCAGGTTTGATTCCTGGCATCACTCGGTAGGCTGGCAAAAGACTCCTGTCTGAAATCCTATAAAGCCACTGCCAGTCAGTTACTTAGCTGCTTCATAGCCAGTGGTCTGAGTTGGCAGTGTCCCATGTTTCCACGACATGTTACATCCCTGTTAAGATGAAGGATTCTAGTTCAATAAATCTTGGTTCAGCCAAAGGTTTTGTGCATGAATTCAACATAATAATGTAAAACGAGCCCCGCTGGAACAAACCAGAGGCCCGTCTAGTCCAGCATCTTGTTCTCACAATGACCTTCTTCTTCTTCTTTGGCGATCACTCGTAGTCAAATAAGATTGTCTTCCATAAACACTGTTTCAAAAGTGAGTCCATAAGTGACTGTGGAGGCCATTTCTGGATCCACACAACCTTCCATAGTGGAGAGATAGGTTTCCAAGCGGGAGTTGATCACGGTGAGGGTTTGCCTAGCGTGCCTTCCTCTTAATGCGTTTCTCCCTTGCCTCCTGAGTTCGTGCATCTTCAAAGCCCACGGCACCACTGGTAAAGGCTGTTCTCCAATTGGAGCACCTGCAGGCCAGTGTTTCCCAGTTGTCTGTGTTTTTTTAGATTTGCCTTGAGAGAGTCTTTGAACCTCTTTTGTTAATCACCAGTATTATGCTTACCATTTTTATGTTTGGAATAGAATAGTTGCTTTGGAAGATGATAGTCAGGCATCCGCACAACATGACCAGTCCAATGAAACCAGAGACACACAACTGGACCTGAGCACAACAGCTCTCTCTCCACCTCTGATTTGCAGCAACTGGTATTCAGAGGCACACTGCCTCCATCATGAACAGCGCCCTCTGACTACCTTATCTCCCATGAATTTCTCTGTCTGGAACATATTGCCATTTATAATATGAGAGATAATAGATTCACTCTGTTGCAAGCTAGATGCGAACCAGGCCAGTCAAGTACAAAGGCGTTTCAAAGCAAGCACATTTTGCTAGCTTGCTTCCATTGCATGTGGTTTCTACATAGCTGACATAAGAGGAAGGGAAGTTGTTGTGGTCAAACACAGTGTCTGGCCTGAATTCTAGGTGCAGTAACTAGCATGCAGCGTTCATCAGCCACTGCTGCCACAGCCGCAAGCACGCTTCCTTTGTCCAGCTTCTGTACAGACTGCAAGCTCCTTGTGTTAAATTCGGAGGCATGATAAGTAATGATGTTTGGTTCAGTGTTTGCACTCATCCTTTGAGTCGATAAGATGCATTTGCAGAGAGCTGAAGGTGGCAGCCGCCTGGTTTATTTTGTCCCATGTTCACCTATGATCAAAGACCTTCCCTGGGTTTCGAAAGAACTACAAAATCTGTAAGGGGAGACAATAGTGGGATGAGTGTGCACACCAGGCTCCTGGCTCCCTTTGTCATACCATCTTCAGCTCAGATTGGCAGCTTTAGTGTATCTCTTAGCAGAGATAGGGCAAAATCTGGGCGGTCAGGAATCTGGAGCAACCTGCTTGCCAGGACAAATGCAGCCGGGGAAGTAATGAGTCGTAGGTGGACTCGGGAAAATAATCTAATGCAGGGGTAAGGAAACTTCTTAAGCCTGAGGGCCACATTCCATTCTGGGAAACCTTCCAAGGGCCATATACTAATGGTGAATGGAGCCAGATACAAAAGTGAGTCAACGACAACAACACCCTAATGCAAATTTTAACCTTTGTACAGTTGGCTGAGGGACGTGGGTGGCACTGTGGGTTAAACCACAGAGCCTAGGACTTGCCGATCAGAAGGTCAGTGGTTCGAATCCCCGCGACGGGGTGAGCTCCTGTTGCTCGGTCCCTGCTCCTGCCAACCTAGCACTTCAAAAGCACATCAAAGTGCAAATAGATAATTAGGTACCGCTATGGCGGGAAGGTAAACGGCGTTTCCGTGCGCTGCTCTGGTTTCGCCAGAAGCGGCTTAGTCATGCTGGCCACATGACCCGGAAGCTGTACACCAGCTCCCTCGGCCAATAAAGTGAGATGAGCGCTGCAACCCCGGAGTCGGTCACGACTGGACCTAATGGTCAGGGGTCCCTTTACCTTTATATTTGGCTAGTTTCTACACACACTCACTTGCCTCGATCCTGACAGGCAAGAGGCATTATCAGAATTCAATGACAGATTCCAGGCAGGCACCAAACCAGGACCAGTGAGAAGAGTGGGCTGGAGAGGGGGAGGTCTTATCCGGGGTGAGTTCAGACAGCCAGATAGAAAGGCTTGGAGGGTCATATTTGCAGGTAATCTTGTGTAATATTGCACCCTGCACTAGGCCAACATTTGGCACCTCACAAATGGATCTTCTCAGTTATGGAGCTTTTCAATTTTGCACCTCATCAGCTCAGTGCCCTTTGCAGAGGTACTGCCTGCACTGCCCTAAATCCGGTGCTGATATTTGGCAACTGGGACCTCAAGCTTCCCAGCCGTCATCTAGACTTAACAGCTTATAAGAACAGGGGTGTACCTCAGGATTGGTCAAGTTGGCCTCTGCCAAGGGCACAGACCCAGGGGAGAGCCTCTCATTTTAGCTTGGAGTAACTGGGAGCTCATCTGTCCATACACATGCTATTAGAAGTATTTGCCGGCAGAGCAGGAAAGGAGATGAAAAGCAAACTTTTTGAGTTTCTGGTCCATAGGCAGGAAGGTGCTGAAACATCTCCTTGCCAAATAATAATAATAATTATTATTTATTTGTACCCCACCCATCTGACTGGGTTGCCACAGCCACCCTGGGCAGCTAGTATTGGCTACCTGATACGTTGGAGACTCTGTCACAGTGAATTAACTGTGTACTCTTCCCTTAAATACGGCCCAATCTCAAGGCCACCACTGCCCTCTCTTCCTGGGATAAGCACTGTGCTGTTTTCAGCAGCATCACACCACCACACCCATTTCGCTAACTCAGAATCTGGGACCTGGCCCAGCCTCACACACCACCAGTTTGGCAATAAATCCAAACAATTTCCCATCTGTTAAGCCAGTGCAATGTGGTGAGCAGTTTCTGTTTTCCTTGAGTGCGAGGGACACATTCTTTGGAGATGACTCTTCCAAAGCCCTCTCTAAAGGAAAACAGAAACTGCTCACCACATTGCATTGACTTAACAGATGGGAAGTTGCCTGGGGAGGGGTCATTGCTATACAAATTGCCTAGAAACTGCTCATATAGTAGCAATGTGCTGCAAGTACAGTTTATAGAGCCTTGCAAGTGGTAAACTGCAGTTTGCTCCATGCACTTCTCCTGTGGGACACTCGCCTACTTTGCCCGGAGAGGAACTTATATGTGTGGATTTCCCCTTTTGTGCTACATTTGATGGTGGTGGGAGGATCCTTCTCACCCACCTGCTTTACTCATTCTCTCGTGCTGCCTGTACTTAGTGAGAAGCAGCATTTATCTCTGTTTAATGAAGTGCTGATCGCTCATTGTCACAAGGGATAATACTCAGGCAGTTGTCCAAAAACATGTGTCCAATGTGAGCAATGCTTTACAAGAGTTTGTTGAAATATATAGATTTCTCTTTGCTTCAGGCAGCCTATGATGATTTGGAAATAAAAATGCAAAGAGCTATGAAGGAGGCAACCCCTTGAAGTAGCAGTTTGCAATTACTTCAGATAGGTGACATGACAGCTCAGTTGGTAGAGCATGAGACTCTTAATTCCAGGATCGTAGGATAGAACCCCATGTTGAACAAAAAATTCCTGCTTTGCAGGGGGTTGGACTTAGATGACCCTCATGGTCCCTTCCAACTCTACAATTCTATGAGAGCCAGTGTGGTGTAGTGGTTAAGAGCAGTAGACTCGTAATCTGGGGAAGTGGGTTCGCGTCTCCGCTCCTCCACATGCAGCTGCTGGGTGGCCTTGGGCTAGTCACACTTCTTTGAAGTCTCTCAGCCCCACTCACCTCACAGGGTGTCTGTTGTGGGGGAGGAAAAGAAAGGAGAATGTTAGCCGCTTTGAGACTCCTTAGGATAGTGATAAAGAGGGATATCAAATCCAAACTCTTCTTCTTATGATTCTATGACCCAGCATGCCTTAAGCCAGTGGCTCCCAAACACCCCCCCCCACACACACACCATGAACCATTTGAAAATTGCTGAGGGTCTTGGCAGACCATGTAATGATTTATTTCCTGCCTGTTGTAGAAGCCTTCATCTGCCCCAGCTGCAACAAAACATGTCTCTCCTGCATCAGTTTCTATAGCCATAGCAGGAGCTAAAACCTTCCAACAGCTTGACTTCACCCCCAAAGGTGCATTGTCTCCCGAGACAGACGGATGCCAACCATAGTTTTTGTAATTAGCTCTAGTTATCTCCCGCTTGGACTACTGCAACACGCTCTACGTGGGGCTACCTTTGAAGGTGACCCGGAAACTACAATTAATCCAGAATGCGGCAGCTAGACTGGTGACTGGGGGCGGCCGCCGAGACCACATAACACCGGTCTTGAAAGACCTACATTGGCTCCCAGTACGTTTCCGAGCACAATTCAAAGTGTTGGTGTTGACCTTTAAAGCCCTAAACGGCCTTGGCCCAGTATACCTGAAGGAGCGTCTCCACCCCCATCATTCTGCCCGGACGCTGAGGTCCAGCGCCGAGGGCCTTCTGGCGGTTCCCTCATTGCGAGAAGCAAAGCTACAGGGAACCAGGCAGAGGGCCTTCTCGGTAGTGGCGCCCGCCCTGTGGAACGCCCTCCCATCAGATGTCAAAGCGATAAATAACTACCTGACATTTAGAAGGCATCTTAAGGCAGCCCTGTTCAGGAAGCTTTTAATCTGTGATATTTTACTGTATTTTTTGTTTCTATGGAAGCCGCCCAGAGTGGCTGGGGAAACCCAGCCAGATGGGCGGGGTACAAATAATAAATTATTATTATTATTATTATTATTAATTCTTTAGAATTCAAATTGTAACAGAAAAAAAATCTAATACAAAAGAAATAGAAGAAGTAATACAAAAATTAAAAATCAACATGCATATTCAATGTGATGGATATGCCATCTCCAATCACAAATCCATAGGCAGAACACCTAAATGAAGCCTGTGGTCCATGGACCAGGGGTTTGGAAACTTCTGCTTTCAGCTCCTTTAAGTCAATGGGAGTAGTGCTAGCTCCAAGTTTTGGAGGGAAACCAGAGAAAGATGTACGTGGGAGGTGGAATATGTGATCCTGTGGCCCTCTCCCGATGCCTGGACCCTTATTTAATGTTTACATCTGCTTCAGGCCTTGGAGGTGGAAACACATCTCATAGACTTCAGAACAGCTTTGCTGGCTGGGGCTGATGGGAGTTGTGGTACAAAATATTTGGAAGGCACCAGGTTTGTGGAGGTTGAGTTAGAAGGAGGAGGACGAGTCGCACATCCCATTCTACTTAGGGACAAGCAACATACTAAAAGCCCTTTGTAATAATGCACAATGGAAAGTACTTTTTCAAAAACCCTCCAGTGAATTCAGGGACCATCGCTCAGCCGTTGTTGGCATCCGCCTGTCTCAGGAGATAATGGAAGAGTGCGCCTTTGGGGGTGAAGTCAGACTGTTGGAGAGTTATAGCACCTGCTGTGGCTGCAGTGACTGATACAGGAAAGAGATATTTTGTTGCAGCTGGGGCAGATGAAGGCATCTGGTTTTGCTGCTACAGGTGCACCATGGCATTTATTCTGTGTTCCTCCCAGCTGTCATTCTTCCTCTGGTTACTGCTGCAGATACATGACCTGACTGCCTGTCTTCAGGCCCAGCAGCAAAACATATGAACTGTATGCAGAAGGTCCCAGATCTGATTCTTGGCATCTCCATGCTGTACCAGGTCATGAAAAAGCCCTCTTCCTGAGACAGTGGAGAGCTACTGCCAATCAGAATAGATCAGAGTACAGTAGTCTTTGTTGCTCCTGATTTGGTTGCACTGTAGTACAATTAGGCCCCTCCAGCTGGCAATCTAGAGCCAAGTGAGGATTCCCAGGTAAGATCCTCCCTCTATTGTGTGGGCAGGTAATCCCTCCCCTACCTGGCCTAGTATTGTATTGGCTACTAATGCAAAACTACCCTCCTTGCCTGCCCATTTAGCAACCATGTGTTTACTTCAAAACTCTATGCAATTTCTAGCAGTCTCCACCTAATTCTAAAAGAGCAGTAAGTTTGGCCCCATGAGGTGTTACCTCTTGCTCAGATCAATAAGCCTTCACGAGAGGGTATTACGTCTATCAGAAATATTGTTCTGACACATGTGCTTTTGGCACAAACTAGCCTGCCCTAAATTATGCCTGCCCAGGCACTCAGCGTTTTCAGTCTGAAGGTTAATCTGTCATTCTCTTTCTTACATGAGTTGCTTGTGACAGCTGATGCCTTTTGCCATCTCAGAGGCACACAGATTGGCAATCACTGCACAGCCACCAACTGTGGCCTGGCTTTAAACAGATGCTGCAAAATCTCACCTCTAAAGTATTATTTTCTTCACGGTATGCTGACCTCATAATAGCATCCCTGTTTCAAATCAAGATGCATTTTTAGAATTTCAGCCATTTGATATTGTGACATTAGTAATTCCAGCAAAAGATAGAATAAAATTTGACTTTCTCTTCTTTTCCAAACACCTCTTTACACAACTCTCTCTTCTCTCTCTGTCAGCATGCTGCAGCTGATGGGAGTTGTAGTTCAAAAGATTTGGATGGCACCTGGTTGGCAAAAGCTGCTCTATAGAGTGTAGCTTTTGAATTGTATTGATGAGAACCCACTTCCCTCCCCTCTCTGTACTTCAGGGGCTTTTCACAGTCTGCATTGAGCTTTTTGTTTCCAGCAGAAACAGGGAACAGGGTGGTGACACAGGCAACAGGGAACTGAAAATAAATATCACCTTATTTGCAAATATCACCTCCTTTGCAAAGATTCTCAGGGACTACCCCACTCATTCCTCAGGGGGGAAATAAGTAGTAAGGCATGAGTAGGAGGAGCCATAGTTGCCTCACTTCCCACTGTTAGGGATCGGCTGTGAACGGAGGTGAGTCACAAGCTGAGAATCATGAGACAAGTCAGTGGCTAGAAGAACTAATCAGCCAAGCAGGACCAAAGGGCAAGCCAGGAGTGGGAACCAAAGAGCAAGTCAGGTCTGGAGGACAAATCAGCTCTTTAGATTACAGTGGTACCTCGGGTCACAGACGCTTCAGGTTACAGATGCTTCAGGTTACAGACTCCGCTAACCCAGAAATAGTACCTCGGGTTAAGAACTTTGCTTCAGGATGAGAACAGAAATCGTGCTCTGGCGGTGCGGGGGCAGCGGGAGGCCCCATTAGCTAAAGTGGTAAAGTGGTTAAGAACAGTTTCAGGTTAAGAACAGACCTCCAGGACAAATGAAGTTCTTAACCCGAGGTACCACTGTACTGGTCAAGCGGCAGAAGCCCAGAGAAGCGGTGCTGGCACTGGCACTCGTTTCCAGTGAGATCTTGCCAAAATCTCGTGAGATCTCACAGAACACACAGGATATTGCTAGATCTCATTGGAAGCTGCTTTCAGTGCTTCAGGGGTGTTGCTGCACAACACAAATAACAGGATGCTCCAGCCTTGGCATTAAACACAAGGCTGCCTTTGAAGATGGTTCAGAGTTGGTGCAAATTTCAGTGGCGCGTTTGCTGACTAGGGCAAGATGGTCTGAACATATCACACCAACCCTGGCACAACGGCATCGGCTACAAATTAGTTTCCAGGCTCAATTCAAATTGCTGATTTTGCCCTGTAAAATATTGTGCATCTCAGGACTACCAGGACTATCAAGGATCACCTCTCCCCATATGAACAACCTGGTTTGGCATCTGAGGTCCTTCTCCATATTCTCCCTCTAACAGAGGTGCAGAGGGTGATGGCATAAGAACAAACCTTCTCAGTGGTGGCTCCCCATTTGTGGAATGTTTCCCCAGGGGGGCACACCTGGCACCATTATTAACTGCTTTATGTGCCAGGTAAAAGCATTTTTAATCATTCGGGCCTTTGGACCTTAATCTGGAGGGTAAAGTATGTTTGTGACCTCTCCTTTTTAGTGGGGTAGTCCGAGTTGGATCTGCCTTTTTGTACATGTTACTGATCAACATTTTAGGGTTTGGGTTTGTTTTACTTTTGTCCTTATGCTTATTTTTCTTTTTGTTTCTGGAAGTTGCTTTGAGCCACTTTTGAGAAAAAAGCAACAAAACTACAACAGCAGCAACTCCTTCCTGGCCAGAAAAAAACAGTGGTATGACTGGATGGTGGAATCAATCCAAATGTTTTCCCCCCCACTGATAACAGCTGTCACTCAAGCATGTCCATCGCAGACTTCATTCTGTGCTCACCTACCCCACTCAGCCCTGCACTGAATTCTACCCCATCGTTATTTTTTACAAGGATAGCAACCTCAGGCAGGGGTTCCTTTGATTATATCATTCTATAAGCAAGGCCAGCTTGAGGAACCCCTTCAGCCATTTCAGCCATGCGTAAGTGTGTGTTAATCTGCTCCTGAATGAAAACCCCCTCCTTTGTTCTAGGGAGGAGGAGGAGAGGGGCTTATCCTTCCTGGTTCACAGCACACAGCAGTCTCTTGGATCGAGCAAGGTTATAAAAGGTTGTAAACCAGCATGTAATTTGGCTGCTTATTCCTAAGGAAATATGGTTTGGCAGTGGCGTGACTAATTGCACTGATACCCACAAGACCCCAAAGGCAAATTATCATGCCATTTATTCTCGCCTCCAGCTGAGCTGTCTCGTAACTCATGTCAAATAAAGTACAGTGCTTTGATGTAATTACTGTGCCATTAATTAAGCCATATCCCCAGTTACTCTTCTCAAGTCAGGCTGCTTTGCAGAACACTACATAAGCTTAGCCCATCAATAGCCGGGAAACAGCTCTTTGGTGGTTAGGGAATATGGTAGTTCTCCAGGTAGACTTGTAGCCAAAATTTGAGCATTTGTGGTGATGGTTGCAAGTGGGACTGTTGATGTGCTGGGGTCTAGCCATCCAAGGCAACCATTATGCTCTGTTCTTAAGCAGCTGCTGTAACTTCCCATTGGCCAAATTTCTAGCAGAAGTGTGAAGTGGCAGATAGGCAAGACAACCCATCTCATGTGTTCAGTAAGCAGGGGAGGGGTGTGTGTGATTATTTGAGATATTAATAATTCGCAGCATGAAGCAATTGTATGCATAAAAGCTGAGTCCTTTTGGAATAAAAATTGTCCAGACCCATAATTATGATTCAAAGCTTTTCTAACCAGAATTTCTTCAAAACAAGTACAAAAGCACCAATTATACATCCAGAAAGAAGTACAAAGCGTATGTGTATTGAAGCATAGGTTCTTCTTCTTAAATATATAACTTAATTACAATTAGAGCTGAAATTAAAGCTCTGTCTCCCCCATAGTCTGTATCAAGCCTGAGGCTATGCAGCTTCTGGAGAGGCATCATTTACAAATCCTTTTCTGACTATCCCTGGTAATGGAAGCAAAGCCAACTCCCTTCAAAATGGAGATTTGCAATGAAATACCTTAGTCACATGTACTAAGGTTAAACACTCACGTGTAAGCTAGCAGAGAACATCAACAGTTACCAGTAATTATCAGCTCATTTAGAAGCTCGAAGAGCTTTTTCTAGCTTAGTTCACTCCAATGGAATTTTCCAATGTTAAACCCTTAGCAATATACATACAGTGGTACCTCAGGTTACATACACTTCAGGTTACATACACTTCAGGTTACAAACTCTGCTAACCCAGAAATAGTGCTTCAGTTTAAGAACTTTGCTTCAGGATGAGAAGAAAAACCGTGCTCCGGCGGCGTGGCGGCAGCAGGAGGCCCCATTAGCTAAAGTGGTGCTTCAGGTTAAGAACAGTTTCAGGTTAAGTACTGACCTCCGGAACGAATTAAGTACTTAACCTGAGGTACCACTGTACAGGCATTCTCAACAGTGATTGAATGGTGTCTGGTGCCCACCGGGACTGGTGGGGCAGGATGCAGGGTACCCAAAGGTAGGTTTTGTCCTCCATCCTCCTCCTTGCTGAGATTTACCAGGGGCAAAAGGAGGAAAGGCCAACCCCTGGGACATGCAGGTGGGACAGATTGAGGCTGGTAAGGCAATGCCCCATTTATTCTAATGGGCCCCCACTGGTGAGATCCCATCCACTGGCCACACTCTGATATTGCATGTTCAGCATTAATGTGAAGGGGTCCTGTGTATGTATGCCTATGTCACAGAAGTCTTAAAGGACACACTAGTTAGAAAGTCATTTATTTATAGGTCCCAGGACATACCAGTTATTTATTTATTTAAAAGCATTTATAATTCACTAAATGTTTTTGATTTTTTCTAAGCACTGTACTATATATATATGTGTGTGTGTGTGTGTGTGTGTGTGTGTGTGTGTGTGTAAAAATATCATTAACATGAAAACAACAACAGCATAAAACCAGTAAAGCAACAATATTAAAGCCTTTAAAACAAGAATTCAGGGATTTCAGATAAATGAAGACAGGTTCCAAGATTATAGGTCAGGGAAAGCCTGGGCAAAAATATGGTCTGCACAAGACATCTGAAACAGCTGGTGGTTGCTGCTTCATGTAAAGTTACAACAATATGATCATAGAGTTATTAGATAACTTTATTATTTCTCTTTTTTTAAAAAAAAATTGTATTAAATTTTACAATTTTCTTGTTCATCACAATAACATTATCTCAACAAAAAAGAAAAATACAGTTCCCCAATTCCCCCCTCCCCCTCCCCACTACTTCTCTCAACCCCGTTTTCTGGTTTAATATATTTTAACTTCTCCTGCTTGTTTTATTATATCTCAATAAAGCTTTCTTAAGTTTTGAATATTATTCTGATCTTGTCATTTTTATATTGTCATTATTTTCAAATTACCTCTTACTTTTTATTATTTCTTCGTTAATACATTTTAGTATCCATATTGTTTTGTTAGTTGTAAGAGTTTAATCAAACCCTGCTAGTGAGTCCACTTCTTTACAATATTTCTGTAAGTACAACATAAATGATTCCCAATCCTTTTTAAAGTCTCTATTGTCTTTTTGTCTAATTCTTCCTGTTAGTTTCACCATTTCCACATAGTCCGTCAGTTTCTCTTGCCATTCTTCTTTAGTTGCTATCATGTCGTCTTTCCATTTCTGGGCTAGTAATATCCTAGCCACCATTGTGGCGTACATAAATAACTTCTTCTGTTCCTTTGGCAAGTCTTGACCTATAATGCCTAACAAAAAGGCTTCTGGTCTTTTAACAAAGGTCATTTTAAACATTCATTTAATTTCATTATAAATCATTTCCCAAATTTTTAAAATTAGTTTACAGTTCTACCTCATATGAAAAAAAATGTAACTTCTTTTTCTTTACATTTCCATCATTTGTTAGAACCCGTTCTGTACATTTTTGCCATTTTTATAGGCGTGATATACCATCGCTACATCATTTTCATATAATTCTCTTTCAGCATTATACAATCAGTAAATTTTAGGTTCAGTTTCCATAATTTTTCCCAGTCTTCCATTTGTATGTTATGTCCTAAATCTTGCGCCCACTTAATCATTGCACATTTAACCTCTTCGTCTTTGGTTTCCCACTCTGATAATAAGTTATACGTCTTCTTAAACAATTTAGTATTATCATCTATCATTTCTCTTTGGAATCTGGATGAAGTGTAACTGAATCCTTTCTTTTCATCTCCTTTAAATACCTCATTTAATTGGTGATATTACAGCCAGTCTTGCACATACTTTGTTATTTCTCTTAAACAGGAACATAACAGCAGCAGGAAATGCCTGGCCCTACCTAGGTACAACTAAGTCTAGTGCCCCCTACTGACTAACCTGTATAATGGCAGTATCCACACAGTCTGTCCTCACATAGGTCGCCTTCACATTAATTCTGAATGTGTAGCTGCTGACTGGTGCATTGGCACCAAGGGAACATAACTGGTGGATGCAATCACACTATCCCCCCACACATGTGAGAATAATTGTGTGTATACACACACATGGGTAAGAGGGAATGGGAATCCTAAACAATGGAACTGAAAGAACATTTGCAATGCAACAGGTATACTTTCTGCAATGTTAATATGCTTAGAAGGATGCAAGATCAAGAGAGTGACTATTTCATGACCTGATAACATGATCTTGATCACCTGTAGGGACAGGGAAACATTCCTGCAATAGGAGCCAAGAAGTGGTCCCAGTGTTTGTCAGTCCTTCCAGTCTGTTCGCACTCATTGGCCAAAGCACCAGGTGGTAGCATTTGCACTGGGCATGGCTTTCCTTTTCACAAAGCAATAGGTTTTTCCATTGTAATTCTTTAAAGAAAGGGGCCTCTGACTTGGATAGTCGCTGCTGAAAGTTCAGGGAAGAAAATTATTGAATATAGGGAACCTATATTAGTGCTGGTCTCCCCCCACCTCCACCCCACAGATGGCCTTGGCTGTAGGACTGTGTTACCCAGAAATCAATCATAAAAAACCCAACAAAGCTCCCACCTCCCATTGTCCCCTGTTTGATCAAGGGAGAAAGTGCTGCCTGCCGGCTGGTTGGAGCTGTCAGCCTGGGGTGCTATTCAAAGCACAGGGTAGATATAAGCCATTAGATGCACACAGAGTAAAATAGAAATGACCCGCTTCTCAACACAAATCCTGTGACAGGGCAGAGAAAAAGGGAGCTCAAAAGCTGTCCTATTTTTCTCCTCTCCTTTCTTTCTGCAGCTACCTGTGGTGTTTGCCACAGAGTCAGATTAAATAGCTGATTAAGCTTTTTCACAGCCCGGCCTCTCGATGTTCTGCCTGCTGAGAGCATTGCTGGAGCCAAATGTTGCTTCCACTGGCTCCATTAACCAAAATGACTTAAGACTTGGACATTCAGCAGATTGGGGGCGGGGAGGTGGGGGGAGAGATCCACTGGGGACATCAGTTAGATGTAAAACTGTCTTCCCGCTTGCAGCAATTGTGGGCTTTTGTTCCCTTGCAGCAAGGAGTGGCTTTTCTAATAAACTTTTAAAGAGGCACATTAAAAAAAAAATTGATTGATTGGCGAAGGGAGGAAGCCCAGATTAACAGCTTTGCTGTGCACACCTAAAAGAAATATATTTAAAAAAACTGACTCTTTTCAAGAGCTTTTCAAAAATGGAATATTTGGTCCATTTTCAAATGGTCCTCTTCTGCTTCCTGTACTGTATTGCTAAATTAACTTTTTTATTATTAAGGGGCATAACTCAACTGTGAAGTATGTATTTTGCTACAGTTTTATCGACTTTGTTTTATAGATTATTCCATGGCTTTTACTGTAATGCATTGTTCTTTTTCTAAGTTTATGCCATGCTTTATGCATTTACATTCTGTAGGTTGCCTTGTGTGTCTAGAGACTAATAAATTATAATAACAGTAATAGTAATTATAATCTTTTGTATCAGAAGGTCCCAGGTTCAATCCCTGGCGTTTCCAGCTCAGGTGTAGCACATAATGAACTCACCTCTTTCTTTTATTACCTATTTTGGTTTTATTTTTCCCCACCACACCTTGCTTTGTGCAACATCTTATCTGCTGAAGAGTTCAAAAGCTTGCCAGGCTTTTTGTGGCTTATGGGTTGGCCCAGAGTGACCCAGTGTGGCAGCACACACACTTTGGAACTCCATGCCCATTGACATTAGCCAGTGTCAGGGACTGGACTGAGGAGGAATGCTGCCCCCCCCTTCCTGAACCTTCCTGAGAAGAGGAGGACAGTATAGATTTAGATCAGTGGTTTGCAGAAGGTCATAGTTCAGAGGCTGCAGAGTGGAGAAGCTGGGAAATATTGAGAGAGCAGCAGGAAGAAGAAGCACCAGGGGAGAGACAGCTGACAGACTCAGTGTCTCTTGAAAGCATTCCTGACCCCCTCACAGGACGAGGTGTGCCTTGAGAGTAGTAGAACAGAAAGCTCAGAGGCAGAAAACACAGGTCAGCCGGCGCAGGGATGACATAGAATAGGAGAGATGGAGGGGATGGGACTTTACTTGGAGCAACACCATTATCTAAGAGAGACTGCATTCCTTCATCTCTCTCTGTGAATATTGAATAAACTACTTGGTAAGAACTTTTCTTGTTTATCTGCTTCTTGGCTGCCACCGTGGGAGGGATAGGATTCCCTGAAGCCTGGCAGGCAGGCAGCTTCGCTGTATGTTTTTTGGCCCCTGCTAAAACCATTTTTGTTTAAGCAGGCCTGTCCAGATATTTAGAAGCTGATATGTGTTCTCATTTGTTGATTTAAATTATATTTTGCTTTAAAAAAAAATACCTGTTTTTAACTTTTTTTGTTGACTGTTTTAATAGTTATTTTATTTTTTATACCCCGTTTAGAAGTTCTATTTACAATCAAGTGGTATATACATTTTGTTAAATAAATAAAATTAGATAGCTGTAGACATTGTTTCTTCCCTTATGGATCAGTGTGACTACCTTTGCTTTAAAAAAGTGACCTTGTTTCTTTTCTCCCCCTCCCCCCATCTATAATTGGGAAAACATCTCTGAGTACAATTGTATTTCTCTTCTAAATCTATTAGGGTTGTACAAAATTAAAATGCACATTCAAATCCCTAATCCTCTTACCTTGAAATGCAACCACATCATTATAAAAATTATCCTCCCTATGAATACTCTGAATTAATTCAATAACTATTCTCAGTCACCTCTCTGATCCTAAATAATTAACAATAAAAATGATTCCAAATAATATATTGTGGTTTTTTGCTCCAGTTTTTGCTTCATGTCCTATAACTTTACATTTGCACTTTTGTCTATTGCACGGTTTCCCAAGCTTGAGTCTCTAGCTGTTTTTGGACTACAACTCCCATCATCCCTAGCTAGTGGGACCAATGGTCAGGGATGGTGGGAATTGTAGTCAGCTGGAGACCCAAGTTTAGGAAACCCTGGTCTATTGATTGGAACCCAATCCCCCATAGGACTGGAATTTTTGCAATAAGGAAAGTGATGGGGAAATGTACCGGGAAGCATGGGATGCCACACATGGAATTTGATACAACATCCTCTCAAACATATCAGGATGAAAATTCATTAAGCCAACGTCATCAGATCTCTCTGCAAACAAATCAGGATGGCTGCTCAATAAATATGTCATCTGGAAGCACCTTGGGATGGGATGAGAAGGCTGCCCCTAAGTCCTTCAGTTCAGGTGGCATCGCTCATTATCGAAGGAGGTAAGCCAAGACTGGCATGCTCCTTCCTTTGAACCTTTAGTAACTCCCTGGTTTAATTTATCAGTGAGTTCCTCACAACAGTACCACAGAATCTACTGTTCTGTGCTTGCATGAGCCATCACGCAATTTCTCTTGCAATAACAATGCAAAGGTGGAGCTTATAATGTTACTCTTCACAAATTCTGTTCCATCTGCTCCTCACATCTGTGAAAAAATCTAAATGTAGGCAGAAAACAGTCTGGATGTTTATTTTTAAAAGTGTTAATGATATTTTCGTAGAGCCTCTATAGGGACTCAGTAATAGATTGGTTAAGTCCTGGCCTGCTGTAACCTGCCCTCTGTGTTCTAAAAGTGAGACATCTTCTCAGAATATTGCTTTGTTTGTGGAAGAGTAAATTGCTGAAATGTATGTGTTTTGTGCATGTGTGTACATGCGCAAAATAAAGTTCAGCCAATGGAATTCAATATGATAAAACAGAGGTCTGATTGATGTTCACCTGTCTGGGTGAAGGTGATCTGCAGCTTTTCCATAATTAAAGTCCATCATATATTTAATTGTTATTTAATTATATGACAGTTATTCTTTAACTATTATATTTAATTCCTGTTGAATAATACTGAATCTTATCCAATATTAATGCAGTTATATAAACAGTAAACAAACATAGATACATATATAATCAAGCTTCCTAAATTGGTATTAGGAACATCTGTAATGATCAATAAACGTTAACCAAACAGTATAATAATAATAATAATAATAATAATAATAATAATAATAACTATTATTATTATTTATTATTTATACCCTGCCCAGTTGGCTGGGTTTCCTCAGTCACTGTGGGCAGTTTCCAACAGAATATTAAAATACAATAGTCTATTAAACATTAAAAGCTTTCCTAAACAGGTCTGCTTTCAGATGTTTTACAAACAAGATGTATTACAAACAAGGCTGATATTACATATAATAAAGGAAAAGAGTTACTAGTTCTTGTTTGACATTTCATGTTGCATTTACTGGAACTTCTTTTGTAGCCATAGTAGTAGGGAAATCAAATGCTAGAAACCCAAATAGATGAGATGGGTCCTTGTAGGGCAAGGAATGGCTGCACAAACTTCTTAGGATTCCCAACACATTCAGCGCAGTAATCAAGGGAAGCAGGTTAGTTGGATCTGACATAAGCTGCTCTGCCCTGTGTTTTCTGAGGGTCTTTCAATTCACACTTCTCTGTCCCAGTCAAGTTGCTGCAGCCGCCTCACAGGGGATTTGCTTGTGTCTTCTTGCAGACTTGTCACAGACACCAGTGAAGAAGTGGAAGATGAGAACCATCTGGGCAAGCCAATTACCCCAAGACATTGCTGTCCCCCACCAGGCATCAGTGTCCTTGAGAAGCTCATCAAGACATGCCCGGTTTGGCTTCAGTTGAGCATCAGCCAGGAAAAAGCTGTCCAAATACTCTGCAAGGAGCCCGTAGGGGTATGTCTACACTTTCTCTGAAGAATACTGTTTTGTGGTTCTTGAGGGAGATGACATGCAGACTTAGATCATGGGAAGCCAATGTGCTATACTCCAAACGTTGTTGAACTCCAACTCCCATCAGCCCCAGCCAGTATGTCCAATGGACAGGAGTGATGGAATCTGGGATCCAACAACATCTGAAGGGCAACAGATTTCCTGCCCCTAAACAAGATTCTGTTTTCTTGGTGTATTTTGCAGCTTTTTTCCTCTCCCCACTGATTTCACTATTTTAGACTGTTATCGAACGTATTGTGGGATAGTGCATTTTAGCAAGTTTATAATGCATTTCAGCAAGTTATTATCACTAACACATTCATTTTTATTTGTACTTTCCCTTAATATATGCATTCTGTACACACTTCTTCTTCTTCTTCTTGGAAAACTGCACCGCAAAATTTGGAAATGTGGGAATTTAGAGGGACAGCTACTTTTCAATTTGTGGATTGTTTCAGGAAGTGCTGATTAGGTAGGTTCCCATTAAAATGCAAACAAATCCAAATTTCTCCCCCACCTGTGCTCTGATTATAGTCTAGTGGCCTTTTTTAGCCGCAGAGAAATGTATTTAAATGATAGCCATCTATCCAACCTGGTGTTGTTTGGCTCCAGGACTTGACAGTCAGAAATTCTGGACATATGGCAGAGTCCTACTGAAACCATCAACTCTGGTGTGGAGAGGCAGTGAAAGAAAGACTAATTCTATGATTCTATGGCATTAGGAAACAGGCTGAGAATAAGACAGCTAGTACCATTATGCCAATAAATACTGTATATAAATCAGAGGTGGCGCCTTATCTGGTGTATTGTGTATAGCATGGGTGGGGATACTTTGGGCCTGTGGCCCTCTAGATGCTGTGGGACTCTGACTCTCATCAGCCTGACCCAGGAATGCCAGTGGTCAGGAGTGATGGGAGATCTGGTCCAATAACATCTGGGGGACCACAGTTTTCACTGTTTCCTTGTATATAGTCTGGTTTCCTGTTTTCAGAAAAGGACATCATAGCCAGGGGAGGCCCATACATAAAATGTGCATGTGTTAATTTATCACTTAAGATGCATAGGCTGACTCTCACAGGCAGAGGTGTCCTAAAAGTAAAGGGTGTGTTCGTTTTTTAGTTTTAACAGTGATGAAAATGGGGAGGAGATCCAGGACCCAGTGCCCCCAAAACCCAGGCCCATCCCTTAACAGCATTCCTAATCAGAGTCCATTCTAAAAAAAAAAGCATATTGTAGAGCTGGCAAAGGTGCAGAAAAGCGTAATCGACATGATCAATGAGCTGGGGCAACACCCTATGAAGAAAGATGACAACACTGAGAGCTTTTTACTTGCACATGACAGCCATTTATAACATGGTATTGCACATAGTGTGGAGAAAACGGATACGGTTCTTTTTCTCAGTCTCCCAAAATACCAAACCCTGGGGTTATACAATGAAGCTGAGCACCGGGAGATTCAAGACAGTGTCTTCACACCGTGCATAGTTAAACTGTGTATTTTTCTGATGTATGATGTAGTAATGGCCACCAACTGCTTTGAAAGAGGATTAGAGAAATTAGTGGAGGCCATGAATGGCATTTTACCTACAGGATCGGTAAAAGCATGTATCTGAATATCAGTTGTTGAGAGAGGGCTATTGGGCTCAGATCCTTTCTGTAGGCTTCCTATAAGCATCTGGTTGGCTGCTATGGGAACAGAACATTGGTCTACTCTAGACCTTTGGTCTGGTCCAGCAGGGACCTTTTATATTCTTAAATAAAAGGTACATAAATCTTGACCCAGTTCTGATATAATGACTACTGAACAGGTCATACTTGAATGACCCCTTTTTGTTGTTGTTGCATGATATAATTTCACGCACCCTCTTTTCTCTGGTTAGATATTCATAGTTCGGAAAGATGAGAACCTGAAAAATCTGCTTCTCTCAGTTCATTTCCCAGCCCTGGTGGAGGCTTCTGACATTTCAGAATACAGGATTAAAGAAGAAAAATCATGTAAGTTTATTCCTGAGTTTTGAAACTTATCTCTCCACCAAACTATTTTGCACCCTGTCCACAATATACCTGCACCTAGATCATTTTCAATGCAAATGTGTGTGTCTCTTCATTATGATCTCCATTAAGATTCAGGACAGGCAAAAGAAAGTGCTTCTTCACAAAGTGCATAGGTGAACTATGGAATGCACGCCCACAAAAAGTAGGGATGGCCACCAACTTGGATGGCTTTAAAGTAGGGATTAGACAGATTTGCTGAACATAAGGCTCTCAGTGGCTACTAACCCTGATGGTTATGTTCTACCATCACTGTCCAGAGGCAGCATGATTATGGATACCAATTGCTGGAAACCACAAATGTCCAGCTGCTGCTTTGAATGCCTCCAGCCAAGGAGAGCCCAAGCCTTAGGAAAGAGTTTCCCTGTGGTTTTTCCATTCTCTTATCATTGTCTCATAAACACATTTCATATCAGTGTCTTCTCAAAACACTGGTTATCTTCACCAAACATGTTATGTCTCCACCTCCTGCTGGGCTTCCTGTTGATGACCTCCTTGGCCTCGCATTAAATACAAGTGTTCCTCCTCATCCTTTTTATCTAACCAGTTGCCACGATTCCACACTGGCAGTTTCCTTTGCCTCAGTGAGAGTCCCTTTGAGCCGCAAACAACTTTTCTGACTGCTTACGCACTGGGCGTTCGAGTTGGAATTATCATTTTGCAAGGCGGCCATACAATGATGTCATCCATTCTTGTTCCTTCACAGTGCTTTTTTTGTATTTCTTTTCTTACTGCAGAAAGCTGAAGGGCCCCCTCAAACTGTTGCTGCAGCTGTTGTTAGCAGGTGTAGTCTGCAACATGCCAGTAATACTACATTAATGGTGGACAGTAAGTGACCCTCTGGAGGTTGTTGGACTCCAACTCCCATCAGCCCCCGTCAGCATGGCCAGTAATCAAGTCTGATGGGAGTTGGAGTCCAACAGCCTCTGGAGGGGCACAGGTTTCCTGTTCCTCTGTTCCTGTTCCTTCTTGGCATTCACACGAATTGGATGGCCTTCCTGTCTTCCTTGTTCTCAAGTATCTACTTTGTGGAGTTATACTGCCCTTGCAGAGTCTAGTTTACCTATCATGGCTAATGTAATGACCTATCCTCAGTGATTTTGTCTGATCCTTTTCCACAGCTGTAGAAGATAATGGCCATCACTATGTCTTGAGGTCATGAATTCCACATTGGAATTGCTTTGCTGGGTCAGACAAATGTCCAAAATAAAATGTTAATGAAAGAGCCAAAGTTTGAATCAGGGACGGTGAGGAAAGGAGCACATCTGGTGTGGGCTGCTTCCATGTGACACCACAGCCCGGCCAACAAGACATTCCAGACAGGAGTTGGGGTGCATGAGGCCCACACCATTAAGTACACCACAGCTGCTGGATAAAACACAACATCTGGAAGCTTTAAAGGCATATCTCATCGGGGAGGAGATGGAGGAGAGGGATGGCAGACAAGGATGGAAGGAGAGTGAGGAAAGTGCAAGGACGAATTTTACTAAAGGAGGAGGAGAGGAAGGGAAGAAAAGAAGGATGTTGCCCTACCTCGATGATGGCTGAGGAACTAGGGTGGGAAGAGGAAAGGGGAAGAAAGAGGGAAGGGTCTAAGGCTGTTGGCCCAGTGGTGAAACAAGTGAAGAGAAAGGGAGAGGAGGAAGGATAGAACATGTGGAAACTTTATATTTACAAATAGAGATGCTTAGATGAAGCAGGCATCTCTGAAGATAAGTGACCACCTGGAACTCCAAGGATCCTTGTAACCTTAGACAGGGCATCCTTGAAAAACTGGATAAAACTACACCAGCTGGATGATCTGCTTGCTTATATGGGGAGAAGGCATTTTACTTATGTGATTTTTGAAGTGGGATGTGTGCCCCTCCTTAATTACACTACTGGCAGTTTTCCAACATAGACCTTCTAGTTACATAAGCCACCACCGCATGCCGGCCTTCACAGTTCCTGCTGATAAGGTTATTAAGTGAATTCAGATGCTAATGGCTACCCTGGAGTACCACAGCCTTCAAAATACAATGCCCTGTGCTCCAAGCAGCCTGGCACACAATGGCCCTCTTGCTGATGAAATTTCTCCAGCAGAATGTTCTCAGAAACTCCATTCACAGGGGTAATGAGTTGTGCCAAAGAGAGGTCAAACGCTTTAAACACATATATACTTTTCACAGTAGTTAGCCATCTGAACTTCACAGCCTCCCGCATCCCCTCCCTGAAAAATAAAATAAAATAAAATGAGAGTTACGTTTTACCCTGATGCCCCCTGGAGAGCTTGAGCTCATTTTCTGATAAGCAGCATTGCAAGCTGGTGGTGTTTGCCTCGCTGCTGCTGCTGCTTTTGGAAAGGTTAAAAAGAAGCAGCAAGCAACCAGCGTGCATACATTTCTTTGAATCTCTGGCACTGCAAACTGCTCAAGCCGCAGAAGTGCTTGGGGAATATTCATGGGCTTTATGGCATATCATGATTCAGAGAGTGTTAAATTAGCTTGAACAATTGAGGAGCTATGAAACTATCTCGAGTGGCATCCATGCATTATTCATATGGAAGCTAATGAGGGAATTGAAGGGGATAACTAGGCAGAGGTAGGCAAAAGGCAGCTTTATTCTTTTGACTGAAGAGACCATTTTGCTCTGGCTTAATCCTGCATCAGTTTGGGAACTCCCGGGAGTTCGGTGTTGTTTGTGGCGGGCGTCATTTAGCCCACAGATACTGTGCGCTTTGAAATCTTCCGTTCCATGGCAAAAGATTTAATGAAATGTTGCATAAACTAATTGCAACACAATGCCAGTAATAGGATTGCCCCTTGAGGTTGTTTGTTACATGTGTATTCCGTGCTTCCCTCCTGCTGCTTCTCCAAAGAGCTCTGCACTGTTCGTACATACTGTACAGTGGTACCTTGGGTTATGTACGCTTCAGGTTACATACGCTTCAGGTTACAGACTCCGCTAACCCAGAAATAGTACCTCGGGTTAAGAACTTTGCTTCAGGATGAGAACAGAAATCATGCTCCGGTGGCGCGGCGGCAGTGGGAGGCCCCATTAGCTAAAGTGGTGCTTCAGGTTAAGAACAGTTTCAGGTTAAGAACGGACCTCCAGAACGAATTAAGTACTTAACCCGAGGTACCACTGTAATTATTTGCCATGTTTTATATACAGTGGTACCTCGGATTAAGAACTTAATTCGTTCTGGAGGTCTGTTCTTAACCTGAAACTGTTCTTATCCTGAAGCACCACTTTAGCTAATGGGGCCTCCTGCTGCCGCTGCGCTGCTGGAGCACGATTTCTGTTCTCATCCTGAAGCAAAGTTCTTAACCTGAGGTACTATTTCTGGGTTAGCGGAGTCTGTAACCTGAAGCGTCTGTAACCTGAAGTGTCTGTAACTCGAGGTACCACTGTACCTTCTTTCTGCTGATGAGCTCAAGGCACTTCACAGTTAAAATAATGGATTATAATTGATGACATATGTGCTATCCCGAGACATCGCCTCCTGTGAGTCAAGGCTCGAGGTACATAGTACCAAAGGCTGGCCAAGGTATTTTGGCACCCAAGGCAGGAAACTCCACACGTGCCCCTCTCTGGAAGCAAAAACACAGCAGTAATTAAATAATGTAACAATTTGCTACCTTTTCACGGCACCCCAAGCCAGCTGCCTGTAAACAGCAGCCTCACCCAACCAGTGATAGGGACAGTCTCAAGGAGAAGAAGCAAATTTGGTTGCCTTGGCTACAGATGAGGTATTATTCTTATTTTTTGTGCGGGAGCTGTTCTGTACCACAGTATTAATTTTATTATCACTGTCAAACTGTTAATTACTGGATTCTATGCATTTTAATGACCTGGTCTATCACGTAGTGTATCGGAAACCACTTTGCATTCAGTATATAACGAAAAGCGGTATACAAATAAACAAAGAAATATAGAAATAAAATTTCCAGGAGGGCAGGCGCCAAATAGCAACAGGTCCTAGCCAGGCTAATGGAGGAAGCCTTGCTGCCTGTAACCGTTCCCCTTCACTGCAACTGGGTGAAATGGGTGCAGATGGAGACAGTTGTGGAGGCCCAGAGCTAAATGGTACTGGATCCAGAGCAGATTGATGCCTCACCCCCAGATCATTGACTTTGACATCCTGCCTCTTCCTTTGATTCAGCTAGATGGAAAGACTGCTGGAGGAGGCAGTTTTGGTAAAGGGCCTTTGGTCCCAGCTAGACTAAATGAATGGTTGCAGAGCGAGTTCCAAAGTAGTATCCTGTCGACATCAATTCTACCTTCTGACCAGTGACAGCAAAGAGTTAAGTAGCATGGAGAAGTGGCAGGAAGACAATGTTTGATTTCCAAATTCAATCCCATTCAGTGTACGGAAGATGTCACCACAGACATGCAGGACGATCCTTGGAGCCTCTGGGATGTTGCATTCCGGTCATGGTGACTCATTCTATTTTTAGCTCAAGTATCTCTGTCCGTTCTCCATATTTAGTAACTTTGACCGCAGCACACCAGAGCAAACTCAGGGTCGTGCCTCCGATTTCCTTCCTCATTCAGGGTAAGTTGCCCACCTTGTTGTATCTACTCGTGAATTATCTGTATAACTTTTTTGAAAAAGAAGAGAAATTCTCTCTCATATATTTTTTTCTAAGGATACAATAACATTGGTAGTGCCTGCATGCCAGGGCAATCTGATAGACTTCCTGCAGTTTAAATCATTATTAAAAAAAAAAGAAGTAACTTTGCTTTAGCAAAGTTAATTGGCTTCAGACTAACTGTACACATGGATTAAACATGGAGAGCAAAGGATTTAGCTGAGCTAAAGCATGATTCCTTCCATTGACCTTGGGATTCTCAAACAAATGTCATTATTAAGGTCAGAACTATTCACTAGTGTAAACAAAGGGAGAGGAGAGCGAAGTTTTATAGCCAGGAAATGTGCCTGTTCAGACTGAAGTAGCTTTCAAAGAAGCATTCCTGATAATACAGACTCAAAGCAGTGCTAGTAAAGGTAAAGGGACCCCTGACCATTAGGTCCAGTTGTGACTGACTCTGGGGTTGTGGTGCTCATCTTGCTTTATTGACCGAGGGAGCCGGCGTACAGCTTCCGGGTCATGTGGTCAGCAAACCAGAGCAGCGCACGGAAATGCCGTTTACCTTCCCGCCAGAGTGGTACCTATTTATCTACTTGCACTTTAATGTGCTTTCGAACTGCTAGGTTGGCAGGAGCAGGGACCGAGCAACGGGAGCTCACCCCGTCGCGGGGATTCCAACCACCGACCTTCTGATCAGCAAGTCCTAGGCTCTGTGGTTTAACCCACAGCGCCACCCGCGTCCCCAAAGCAGTGCTAGTGGGGGCCAAATCCTGTATCACAGGCTGGATGGAGTGCTGGACTGCAACTTTGGGTATCCGGGTATCCTCACACCAATTTAAAGGACACTATTTCTCTGCCTTAGGGTTGCTGGGCACAGGGGCAGTCCTGCCATGAAGCATGGTGAAGGGATTGGGGCAGCTGAAGCCTGGGACTCCATGGTGCATGGCCCACCCCCACCCCCTGAGATGGCCACCAGCATTACTTCAGTTGTGAAGCACACAATTACCATTTCTCTCCCCCACAGCCATGGCACGCTTACAAATATGTGGGGAACCTTTTTCAGTCCAAGGGGCACATCTCCTCTGGGCAAACTTCTGCAGGTCACATGCCAGTGTTGGGCAGGGTCAGAAGAACAATGAATTTAAATGTTGCCAGGGCCGGCTCACCCATGAGGCTGGGTGAGGCAGCTTCCTCAGGTAGGGGGAAGCTCAAGAACAGGCCCTTCTGCAGGTGCCCTGCCTTCGCTACAAGAGAAGCAGCACAGGCAGAAGCACCAAGGAGATCTTGCCAAAAATCTAATGAAACTTTGTCAAAATCCCGTGAGATCCCATGAGATCTCGTGATATTTCAGCAAGGACTCTCAATATCTCACCAGAACCCACGGTCAACATCACCGCTTTGCAGGTGCTGCTGCACATCCCAGATAAGCGAGGCTTCAGTGGGGCAGGGCAACACATTCCCATTTTGCCTCAGGCAGTGCAACAGGGTGTACCGCCCCTGAATGTTACCTTTGTGCAGTATGCTACTTTCAGCCCACACTTGACACCCCTCTCTATCCTCCATCCAGGCAAGCAAGAGTCATTATTTGAGCTGAAGGATAACTAGCCAGGCAAAAAATTATCAAGGGTGTGTGTGTGGGGGGGTGTCATTTGGACTCTTTGTCAGGTAACAAGAAGTTTGGGGGCAGCCCTGGTTGTGAGGATCCACCTGGGGGAGAGACTGTCCTCTATCAGTTTGTCTCCAACTAGTAGTGAAGTCTACATATTTTGCTCTTGAGGGTAGGGCAGGGCTGGCCCAGTAAATTTTGTTGTCTGAAACAGGATTGCACAACCTGCAAAGGAATGGGGCTTTCTACCACTTTGCGTTTGGTTTATGTCGTTGCAAACACCAAGTTGTAAGATGGTTGCTTTTTGTTCAAATGAATGCACAGGGGACTATTTCGCTTGCAAAGTGGTTCGCGAGGGGTGGGTGTCAAAAGTTTAAGGGGAAGTGTTGCTCAGGCAGTTTTGTAAGGCAGGGGTGATGATTCATGGCTGCTTGCACGTCCCCAAGAAAGAGGACTCAAGATTTGTACAAGCTATAAACTGAGAAATGCAATGCATCTCATCAGAGTCAACAAGACTGTGATCAGGGGGCCCGTGTGCCTGTTCAACCTGATGTTTAAGCGCTTTCTGTTGATGGGCAACTTCAAGGCCTCTGCTCTCCTTTTTCGTCATTCTGCAAGCTGTGCTTGGATCAGACGGCTGTTCAGATAGAGATCCTCTTCAAACAGGGGCCTGTTCCCTGCAAAATAGGACATATCCCTACCCTACATTTGGCTAGTTATGGACTAATCTGTCCATTTTGGTTTCTCTCGGATTTTCATTTTTTCCTATCGTAAGTTCAGTTCCCCACATTTCTGCATCAGTTCCCTATTTTATTTAAAGTCCTCATGAAAATTAATCAGCATTTTAGTGTTACTATGAGACGGACAAATCTCCCTTTCAGTTTCTTGAATTTTCTCATTTTCCCAGTTCTCCACATTTCCACATCAGTTTGTGCTTTTTTAAAAACTTCATGAAGATTCATCAGCATTTTAGTTTCAATTTCCCTTAATCTACACATTTTTCTATGCAGTTATGCATGATGTACACGTTTTGCAATTTCCCATAATAAACCCAGTTTTGTACACTTTTTTAAAAAAAAGTCTGCATGCCGCATCATCATATGATTAAGACAAGTGTGAATTTCAAAGGGAGGAATCCAGTGTAGCACTAACTCCCGCATTGTGTCTGTTTCTGCTTACACAACTAAATCCCCACCCCACCTTGCACCCATCTCTAAATCTGTTCTGAGGTTTACCCCAACCCTCTGAAGCAAATTGGGGGAGGGTGTAGGGCTCATGGAGGGATAAGAGAGGGGTAGAAATTCTACTGCACAAAAAGACATCGTTGCGACTTGAACAGCGCCGATAGGTTAGCTGCATTTCGGTTCACACATTGTTTTGGGAAGTGCAGATTAGGTCTATGTGTCACATGGAGCTTTGTCCTCCAACATCTCACTGCTGCCCCCCCCCCCGCACACCACATCACCAGATACCTGAGTGACCCCCCACATTATTTCCATTGGTTGGGTTGGCCTGGCGGGCTGGGGACCACTTTGTATCTTAGGGTAGTTTGCTTTCTGTAAAAATAAGATATATAATCAGAGTATTTCCAGAATCTGAGAAGATTCAGGGGTTTTTATTCAGAGTATAATAGGGATTTTCCATACTGTCCTGAAAATGTCAGAGTTGATGGGAACTCTGCCCCGGGTTATTTGAAAGAAAACTTGAAGCAGTTCTTGAGGCAGCCAGAAAACACAAACAGTTTTCATTTTAAACTTTAATCACTTTCTCTAAGGTGAAACTTCCTGAGGAAAGGAAAGAAAATCTCCCTCTTGTAAGTAAGCACAATTTCCTTCTTTCTGTTCTGTTTTCTTTGGAACAAAAGGCCTTGCCTTGCCTTGTGCCCAAGTAGTGTAGGTGTTTCTCAGAATTCACATATTATTGATGAGGAAATATGTGGACACCGAAGCAGCGCTATACCTTTTGGCAGGACCAACTTAACCACCAAAAATAGTGAGCAAGCTTGTGAGTTCTCCAGAATTTTTCTTCAGTTAAGTAGAAGAAAAAAATAGCTGGCAGGCTTACCTGAGAGCAACAGGTGGCAGTGAAAACAGGTGTACCTTGCATCAGCATCTCTCTGGGGAGTTAAAATGGTCACTCCTACCATTGAAAAATTATTTAAATGGGTGGGCCCAGGGCAGGTAGACCTCAGCAGTAGGCAGTACAGTAGTAGAGTGTGCCTTAGGGCAGAAGCAGTTTGACACATGGGGTGGTGCTGCTACACTAGCTTCCTGGCATGTGGGTCACTGTTGCTTACTGGGGGGAAAGGGGTAGGGTGATGCAAATGCAGTGACAGAAGGCCTAGATTGGCTGACTGCCCTGCCACCCAGGGGTGCCAGCTATAGGGGCAGAAGGGGCTTCAGCCCCCCAATATTTGTAGGCAGGGGGTTGAGCCCCTAAATATTGAGGGGGCCACCATTCCACACCACCTCCAGCAAGCACTGGCACGCTGGGTGGGGGCGGGAGGCGTGGAGAGCGCTTTTCACCCTCCCCGCTCCCCACTGCGATCACTTCCTCAAAGGGACACCCACACGTCCCAGCAGGCCTGGCCAGACTTGGGGGGTATGTGAGATGTCATGCATGCATGACAGCCCCCCAAATGTTGGGCCCAACTTGGCGCACCTGCTGCCACCTCACCCCTCCGGCTCCTGGTGAGCTATAGGGACCCAGCTAACTGGAAGCTGGCATACAGCTCTGTCCCTGACAGCAAGCTGCTTCTGCCTGAAGGTGCTGTGTGTTGGTGTCAAAGCTAAGAGATTTTCACCAGTCTCCCACCCCCTCAGCTAACTTGAAGGGTGATAGTGATGCAGCAATAAAACTGCTAGCACATTTGCAAAACTAAGCAGAGTCCAGTATGGTTTCAAATTGGTTGGGGGACTGCGTGTTGACATTCTTGCATTGCAGAGGATTGAACAAGATGACTCTCGTGGTTCCTTTCCAGCTCTACATTTCTATGATCCTCCCTCCCTCCCTCTCTGCCTCTCTCTCATTGGAACATTCTAGTCCAGGGGTGAAGAACCTTTTTGGCTTGGTGGGCGAGAGCTTTATCTCCCCACATCCCCATAGGCCAACTTTGACAAGTGGGTGTGACTACCCAGGTGCCAATCATTCAATGTCAGGATGATATTAGGTGACTGGTAGGCCACCTGATAGGTGGACAGTCCCCCCTACCTGTCAAAGTTGACTCACAGGCATTCCCCTACCATCTAAGGTTTTACTTCATGCTTTTCTTCTTGAGTCTATGAATTGGTTAACCTTTAAGGTGCCTCAAGACTCTTTTACTTGTTCTTGTTGATGTTAACATTTATATAGCCACACATCAGTAATATCTTCTAGATACTTTCCAGCAGACATTTGCAAACTGCACCCCGCCGCCCCCCCACCCCCGCGCACACATCAGTGAGGTGAACAGGAAACAAAAACTGAACTATGCATGCTAATCATTTTCTACTAATAATTAAGCTGATATCCAGGAAAGAAGTTTTAAAACACACACTCAAAAGTCCCTACTGTAGTTAGTTAGTTAATCAATACATAATATTTAGAGATGAACATTTTGCTGCTCCTATTGCATATAATACCTTGCCATTGAAGTCATTGTCCAGGACATTAATATTTCTCAGGCTTAAAAAAAGCTTTGAATGGCATTTTTTTACACATATGAAACTAAAAGCACTTTCTAGCCCCTCTTGTACTATTTGCGCTCATCTGCAAATGTTCTTAATGTCAGGTGGAAAGTGGAAGAGAGCTATTTATAAATCCAATCTGCATTCTAGCCAGTGCCTGATTTTTACATTTGCATTGCAAAAGCCACTTTGTGTGTGTGAAAACACCCTGGCGGGGCTCTCATGTAGTTGGTGTGAAGACAGTCTGTTTTACTTTTTGTTTTGAAACTTACATTGTGTTCATGAAAGGAAATTTGAATGAACTGACCTTCGCAAGGAAGTTGTAATGTGTTAGAGAGAGTGGAGGGCAGGAGGAGAGGGAGAGAATGAAAGAGAGAGGGGAGCAATGGATGCAACCACTATAATGCTTTGCTTGTTATGAGAGAAAACTGGTGCCCTTGGGCAACCAAAATGATTGAGAGACCGCAGCAAGCCCCTCCACTTTGAGAAAGGTTGACTCAGTTGCTGTACCTGATCACCTGTTTATCACCTGTTAGTTCTTTAATTCAGCAGTCATATAAAATGCAGAAATGAACAGGTTAAATTGTTTGCCAGTATGAAGGTGCATTTTGGGGAGAAGCTTCTCCCATTGATTTCTTCCTCTTATGCAGGTGTACTCAGCATTGATCCTTTACCTATAGAAAGATGGCAATGCTATGCCTGCAGCTTGGCGACTCCGCCAATATCTCCCTTCAGAGAAATTCATGAACAGTACATGAAATATGTTGTGGAAAGCTGGTCTCTTGGTGCTAGGTGGCTTGAGAATTAATTGCATAGCAGGAAGCTACTTCCACAAGACCTTTCGTATGTGATAGTAGGCTTGTGGAATGGTCATGACACAATATGAAACCGTTTTTAAAATGCTGCCTCTGAACAACTGGGAAAGCAGAACTGAGTTTAGGAGATGAACCAGAGTGAAATATTTCTTTAAATAAACTGTTTATCTTTAGTTCCTTCACTGTTCCTTGCTAATTTCGCTGTACCGTATCTTATAAAAATGTATAAATTTAGATTGACATTTTGCCATGTGAATGAGTGTTTTGCAATGCTTCCTAGTTCAAATATGAAACGTTCACATCCTCATTCCTTGAGGATTCATCAGCTTCCTGATTTATACAGAAAAGTCCCTGATTTTTTCCCTCTCTTGTTTCTCAATCAGTACTGTATTTGGAAGGGTCCTTTCTCGTGTTTGAAGATATCTTCAAACTGATTGCATTCTACTGTGTCAGTAGGTAAGTTGGATTTATGTTTTCCGATTATGGTGTCTCTGTTCACATATGGGAATGTTCAATGGGGAGATTCTAGGACAACATAGCCCATCAAATTGGGTGATTCCTTACGCATCGCCAAAAAGAGAGGACAAAAAGGGCAGCAATCAAAAAGGGCACATTTGCATAACATTTGCATCTCTTAACAGGCATTCTTGCTTTTGGCTGTGGGGACATCTTGAAGACTTATTTATCCCAACAGGTCTATGCAGTTGTTAAAAACCTTTCTGAGGAGCCATTCATTTAATGATTCTTCTGAGGTACTTCTAATGGTGTGTGTGTCTATATATCGTTGCATATTGCCCATATTTTGCGAGAGGTTAGCATATAAATCTTTTACAAATGAATGTGTTTTGCAACTGAACAAAACCAGAAAACTGTCACTGCATATTCACTCCCTTGTGTTCATGAAAGTGAGAAGGCAATTATGAAAGAAAGCTTCTCATTTGATGTTGTTGTTATTGGTTATATCTGTACATCATGCTGATAGCATGTTTCGGTGAACACAGAGCTGCTGCCACTCTTCCTCATAATGCTAAATAACATAGAATCATAGAATTGTAGAGTTGGAAGGGACCCTGAGGATCATCTAGTCCAAACCTCTGCAATGAAGGAATCTCAACTAAGTCGTGTGATGTCATTGCCTTCTGTTTCCTTGCCGTTGTGCGACTTTGTTGGCTGCTGCTTGCAAGGGGTGGAAAAACTCAGAGCATAGTGACATCAGTTCCCAAGTCTCTAACTAAACATCAGTGGGGAGACATAGTGTGGGCACGAGTTCCTCTTAGTTTGGACAATGTACAATTGCTCAGTGACCAAATTTCAGCAGGGGTATAGGAGGTTCTGCTTTTAAAAATATTCAAGGGCATACAGAATGCTTTCAATTGGTGGGGAGAGGCTGTTTGGCAAATTAATTTTTAACACACACTCAGTAAAAGTGACGTCCAAATTTATGTATGGATTTTCAAAAGAACAAAAGAAAGGAAGTAGGGGGAAGAAGCAAGGGAAAATGGAGTTCTTCAAATAATTAAGTGTTTTCTGAAATCAAGTATTCTGGCTGGCCTTGAGAATATCTGTAAAATTGCCTGTCAATGGGAGTTGTTGTTGTTGTTGTTGTCATCTGTTTTTCTCAAATGACAATGGAGTGTGCCTCTGGGGGTGAAGTCAAACTGCTGTGTTAGCAGCACTGAAGGGACCTCCCCAGGACGCAAGCCTGGGAAGGGTGTATGGAGGTCCTGGGCTGCCCAGATGACAAGGCCTTCCCCTTAGCCTTACTGATTGATGTGGTCCAAAGGAAAGCAGAGCCATATGCTTGGCTCAAGCTTGGCTGCAGGAGTCGCCAGAAGGAGGTGTACAACGCACCACCCAACCACCCTAGGGACTCCACCCCGGAATTGTGTAGGGTTTACTCCTTAGTTTTACCTTCTTCTGAAAGTATACCACAGGGCAGTGAAGGTTTAGGATCAGAGTTTTCCGTCTCCTAAATGGGCTACCTTCCCAGGTTGACAAGCCCCATCTGCCTCTATGAGAGTACTTGCTAAAGAAAAGATTGTGTGGTTAATGTTAAGACTAAGGATAGGTGAGTATTTCAGTTTTGACTTCTCTCAGTTAATCATTTTTCCAGTGCTCAGTTCTCCACATTTACACACCAGTTTGCCAGTTGTTTTTTAAGTCTCCCTGAAACTTCAGCAGCGTTTTAGTGTGGATTTCTCTCCATGTGTACATTTTTGTATGCCATCTTGCCTAATTCAAACATTTTTGCCATGCATTTTTTTCCTAATACAGTATGGGGGCCTTTTTATTGTTTCTTTCAACAACACAGGCATTTTAATGCACATTTTACTTTAAGATGTGCATTTTTGTGTACATTACTTGGCTGGAGAACCACACTGCAAGAGTTGGAGAAGTGAAATTTTCAAAAGACGTCTGTGTTTGGGTTCGTGAATTAGGAATATTCACCCTTAAATGAAAATTGAACTTAGTTTCTCCCTCATCCCTAGTTAAGGCCAACAGTAGCTGAAGGGGAGAGGAAAGGCCATCATGAGTTCATCTCTTAGCCATCCTGGGATCTATCAAGGCAGGCAGTTTGCTCAGCACTCGTGCCAGTCATGTGAAAGAATGATTTCCTGCGGTGCAGAGAAACTACAAGCCAAGCGAGCTATTTGAAACTCAGCTGTTCCAAGCTGTTTTTAAAAGAATTATAATTGACTTTGGGTTAGCAATAAAAAGAGCCAGACTTCCTCTCCACCCCACCCTCGCCATCTCACAGGACCAGTACTATGAACTCTCCTGTGGGAAGGATCCCAGGAGAGAAATGCAGGTCAGCAAAGGACACATCAGAGCCTGCTTCAGTTGGATTACCCTCCTGTGGCATTTTACAACCAACTGACCTGCAGGAAATATGCTGATGGCTTGTTCTATGTTGATCTGAGTCACATTTGCACGACACTCTAAGCCAAATAATTGCTCAGTGCAAATGTGTGGGATCCCAGAGAAGAGCTTGCGGCTGTTTCACTCCTCGTAGGAGGTAAAGAAGCTATTGTTTTCTGCTTTGCCCTGTATTTATCGCATGCAGAGCTGTTTCCATTCTGCTGTAGTTCATCTTCTACCCAAAACTATGGTATTCGACTTGCTGGCGGCTGTGGTAAAAGTAGATAACTTCCATAAATTAATTACTGAAGTTACATTGTCATTATGTCATTTCAATGTTAAGAAAAAACATGGAACGTAATCAATTACATGTTCTCTGGGTTGATTTCTGTTCTGGACATGGGGCACATAGGCAAACAGCAGATTCTGCTCCATTTCTGTTTTCTTTGGTATTCTCTGACATCCCTAACTCCTTCCTGGTTGTTTTGCTGCTGTGCCACACTGAGCTAAGCCAAAGTTTGACCTAGCTTGTCGCCCAAACCTAGACTTGTAGTCTAGCTCTCTTGGGCAAACCATGAGCTGTAAGCAAGGCCCTATGGTTTATGGCTCATGGTTTGTCCAGGAGAGCAATAACAGGAACCCGGGCCTGGCTTATATGTCAAACCGTGGCTGAAGAGCCTTGGGACACAGGTGGACTTTCTCCCCCATCCCTGCTTGAATCACTCTATGATTCAGAATATAAACTTAGTGTAAATGCGTTTCCATTGAAATTATTGCAAATTATTTCGAAGCACTGCATCTGTCTAGAATAAGAAATGAAATAATGCAGAACTAACCAAGCAGCTTTTATTCCCTACCAAGCCACATGCAACTTTGAATATATTTATTTATTCATTTCTTTTCCACTTCCTAGAGATTTGCTTCCCTCCACGCTAAAGCTGCCACAAGCGATATTGGAAGCCAATAGCGTCACAGATCTAGAAACCATCTCTAGTCTGGAGATAGGTAAGTTGTGTTGGAGACCCCTGGCAACTTCTTACCCCAAACCCTAAATGATGGGTTCATTATTTGGATGTACACCTAAGGCTTCTAGTCCTATGCACAATTCCATCACATGCCAGAATTCTCTCTTGTTTCGCTGAACTCAGCAAGAGGTGGGAGTGTTTTGCAAAGCATTCCTGCTTGTCATCCCTGCTCAAGGGCCTTGTATCTCCTCTTCTCCGCCCTTGGTGAGAGGGAGGAGTGCTTTGCAAGGTGGCAGAAGTGATGGGGCAGGTAGGGTGCCACCTCTTGTACTTTCCTTGCCTAAGGCAGCTGTTTTGCCCTGCCTCCTCAGTGGGCTGTCTCTGTAGAAGCATAATGCCTCCAACCAGGGAGGCCAATCATAGTCATCATGGATAGTAGCCACTGATAGTCTTATCCTCCATGAATTTGTCCAGTCCTCTTTTACAGCCATTCAGGTTGGTGGCCATGGGAGTCCCATAGATCCACTATGGTGTGTGTGGGAAAAGTGCTTTCTTTTACCTGCCCAGAGTCTCCCTGCACTCATCTTCATTGCATGCCCATGCATTCTAGTCTTTTGTTTTGATCAAGATTAGTGTGATGTGGTTGAGCATAAGATATCAGCTGGAAATACTTGGTGCAAATGTAATCTGAGCCGCATTTTTGCAGATAGACTGGCCACAACATCCTATGAGACTGGCCTGGCCTACAAGATTGTTGTCAGGGTATTGAAGTAACATCCAAAATGACCTTTGAGCACTTGAAATTATTTCTAGGACACATAGAAGATATACACTGTATTGTGCTTCTTAGGCTAGTAAAAACCTAATCAATTCAGAGAGGAGGTGATGGCAGGTAGCAAACCAGAGTTTTCTTTTCCAAAAGGAAAGATTTCGTAATCTACAATGCTTATTTCCACTTCCCCCAGAATCATGCCTGTCTTAGGAGGAGGAATTCCCCGTTTCATTCTGACACTTCTGAGATATATGCACACAGCCCTAGGCACAAATCATACCTCTGCAACAGTATTTGTTTAATGCTACTTTATATGCAAATACTCTTCTACGATAATTTCTGGGTCTCTACTTCAGGATGGGATTGAGACTTCTTTTGTTCGTCAGTTTGTGCCTAGACTTTGGTAGAGGGAACAAAGTCCATCTTTTGTGGGGGCCCCCAATATAAAATTACAGACTATTAAAAAAATGAACAATTTAATCCAGACCAGACATAGGTATTCAGCAGGGCAGGGAGGGAGATTTGCTCATCTGGAGAAGAGGGTACAGCTGTGTTTGGATGGGGTTCCACTTCGGACAATCTTAGCCAAATGGCCACCTACACTAATACAGACCTATTAAGATCTGCCTCTGAGACTCTGCTCATATTCTCATGGCATGGCAAGTTGATTTGGCTTGCACAAGAGATAGGGACTTTTCTGGCATGGCCCCCGGATTCTGGAACTCCCTCCTCACAGAAGTGTGTGTGGCCTCAACATTGCCAGTGTTTAAATGAATCTTTTTAAAAAAATAACAACTCTCTTTTGACTCACATTCTCTTAAAGGTTCTCTCAGAATTGGTTATTTTAGTATAGATGGTTATGCCCTTAGGGTGGCAATTTATACTGATGTTTGTAAACGTTTTTAAATGGCATAGCTTTTAAAAAGATTGTTAGCACCATTGCCATTTTATGTTAGAATTTATATACCTGCTGTTTTACAGTGTTGTGAGCCACTCTGGGTGGTGTATGCATATAGATGGATTTATAAATAAATAAATATCAACAAATGAAATTCAGAATTAGTAAAAGGCATAACACAGGTTGGTTTTGCTATGTAAATAAAACAACTCATTAACAAATATAATTTGCATCACCTTCCTGAACATCGCCACAACAAAAGTTGTCAGTGGTTTCAGTGTCCATTGTACAGTAAAGGTAAAGGTAAAGGACCCCTGGATGGTTAAGTCCAGTCAAAGGTGACAATGGAGTTGTGGTGCTCATCTCACTTTCAGGCTGAGGGAGCCAGTGTTTGTCTGCAGACAGCTTTCCGGGTCATGTGGCCAGCATGACTAAACTGCTTGTGGTGCAACGGTACACCGTGACGGAAGCCAGAGCGCACAGAAATGCCATTTACCTTCCCACCGCAGCGGTACCTATCTATCTACTTGCACTGCCGTGCTTTCGAACTGCTAGGTTGGCAGAAGCTGGGACAGAGCAATGGGAGCTCACTCCATTGTGGGGATTCGAACCGCCAACCTTCTGATCAGCAAGCCCAAGAGGCTCAGTGGTTTTAGACCACAGCGCCAACCCCATAGTCGCCTTTGACTGGAATTAACCATCCAGGGGTCCTTTACCTTTATTATACTATACAAGATACAGGACTGAATCTAGTAAGTATTTTACAAATCTCCCTTTTTAAAATTTCCATATACAAGAAATGGGAACCATATCCAATACATTTTCTCTGAAAATAGAACGCAAAGTAGAGCATGCAATTTCCATATTTTGTCAAACCACATTTTTCTCTAGCCTAAATGTTCTATCAATTCAGTTATAGTATACTGAGGAAGACAAAAAACTTATTCAAGGTGACATCTAAATGTTGCTTTTTCATCACTCAAAGCATAGTATTTTGTACTTTGGAAAAAGTGGTGCTTTCCCTTCGATAACACAGGGGTTACTGTTTTGCAAAAGGTAACGGTTGATTAATGGCTATATTTCTTTAGCTGGTACACAAACACTATATTATGTGTGTGTGTGCACGCGTGTGTGTGCGTGTTTGCGTGCATGTGGCTGTGGTTTTACATGACAAACCCTCCAACTCTTGTGCACAGCAAAATCTACCCTTTGAGCTCATTCTTACCCCACTCTGAGTCAAACTACACACAACATTAGACACATGTCTAAGCAAGCATGTTTAATGTAGCTGCTTTTATTGTACAGTAAGATCTGGTTTGGACCTCTGACCTCAACCATGTTCTCAGTCTGCACTGGGTTTTCTGCTTGAGGAAAAACTCCACCCTATTCCTTGCTGCTATTTGCCACCCCTACCCCCCGGTAATGTTTGCAGTAAACAGCACTTTTGGCGAAGCAGCCATTTTCAGGTAATACTATTGATTGTATATGAGGATTCTGCTTGGTTTGACCTTTCTAAAGGCAGCACTGTCTATCCAATACAGAATAATGCATATGTTCAATAAACATTATGCAATACAATTCAGTTAAAGGACTTCAGTCTCTCTCCCCTGCACTTGATTATTTTCTTTTAATTCTCATGGTTTTTGGTTGGTTGGTTTTTGCAGGTTTCTGGGACTCCGCTTTAAATCAAAGGCGGGGAGGGCCGTTCCCTCACTCTGTGAAAGGTCTTGCTTTTGCCACAGCTCAAGCGAAAAAGGAGGGGGAAACTACCCAGTGTTTTGCAAGCAGCACGGACAATTGTTCATGTGAAATTGAGCTGTCAATAGGAAATGACAGGCTGTGGTTTGTAAATCCTATTTTTATAGAGGAGAGAAGCAACCAGTTTCCCCCGGATGTTCCTCTTCCTCCTCCTCCTCCTCCTTCTCTAGAGACTTGCAGGAAAGATCCTTCTTTTACCGTGACAAGGCCTCCAAAGAGGTCTCCCAGCCGCCGCCCGCCACCACCACCGCCGCCACCTCCTCTGCCTCTTCATGCTGTGAAGCAGCCTGAAAAGTCTCCCATGACCACTTCTGAAGAGCTTCGGGATCTGGAGAAAAACAAAAAGGAAATGAAAACTGAAGTTAGCAAAAGCAAAGAAGATGATGGGCGGCCGTCTTTGTCTCTCAGCGATTCTTTTACCACAAAGAAATGCATCCCGCCTTCCATTCCGCCAAGGAGGTGCATATCCGAGAGATATTCTGGAAAGGGCTGCTTTGAAAAATCTGAGAAATGTCCAGCAGCAGGTGGAGAACTGGTGGGAAAACGGAGCAGTGGGAATGAAGGTTGCATTTCATGTGCTGTTGAGCCTCCAGAGGTGTTTGAAGAGGTTTCAGAGAAAGATCCAGCATCATGTCAAGGGGCGGAGCCCAACAGCGAGGCCAAGAACCAGCTGGTGGCTGAGCTGCAAAAGAAGCCCTCAGAGAAGTCGGCAGGGCCTCCTATCCCACCCCCAAGAAAGAAAAGGATCTCACGACAGGAGTCATCCGCCAGCTCTTGCCATTCAAAACCAGTATGTGCTGAAGAGTCAGAATTGCCGGTTCCAAAAGGAAAGGGAAAGCCAGTAAAAAAAAGTTGCTCCAATGCAAAAAGGGAATCAAAATTTGCCCGTCAGCCTCTTAGCTTCTCAGATCTTGAAAGTTCTCATGACTCACTGGACAGCCCAGTAAGCAATGTGGGGGCTCAGACACCAGCCTCTGAGCCAGACTCCTATTCCACCAGCAGCACTGAGGATGAGCTAGAGCTGGTGACCAGCCCGTCGGTGAAGAAGACCCGTTCCATGATATTAGGCAGGGCCAAGAACCGCCTGTCCATGGTCAGCCTGAGCAATGTCTTCACTGCTTTCCTGTCCGCTGACCGAAAGCTCCAGAAGAAGATTGTGGAGCTGGCCCAGGACAAAGACTCTTACTTTGGCCGCTTGGTGCAGGACTATAAAGTATACAGCCTGGAGATGATGGCGAGGCAGAACTCCAGCACTGAGATGCTGCAAGAGATCCGCTTAATGATGACCCAGCTGAAGAGCTACTTAGTACAAAGCAGGGAGATAAAAACCTTTATGGACCAGGCTGTTCACACGGATGAGCAACTAGGTAAGAGCTTCCGTTTTCTATTCTTCTTTTGAGTGTGTGGCTTCCTCAAGAGGCAAATCAAGGTGAAAACATGATGCATCAAAATAACACATTATCAGGAGAACTGGCACAATAAAATAGTTGTATTTGTCAGCCATTGGCTGACATACAGACATCTATGGTTATTTACAGGGTTATTTACTATTTTTTCATGTCTATTACATTTTTAAAATGTAATGGAGTCTAAATGCAGAAACACCGCCACAGAGCAGGTTACCAAAGCACTGACAGAGCTCTCAGGCTTTTTATTTAGTGTTTATGTTTGTAACTCACCCTTCTTTCCTACATTCAGACTGGAATGCTTGAGGCTATCCCGTTTTATCACTTATCCCCAGGCCATAGAACAAGCTTCAGTGCTTAAAACACCATCCATTGCATCACAACACTAGAAACTCTATCCCAGCCTTCCTCCACCAGGTACCTTCCAGCTGCTTTGGACTATAACTCCCATCATCCCCAGCTAGCACTGCCATCCAAAATAACTGGAGGGCACCTTCACCATCACCTGCAACATTTCTGTGCCGCACGTGTGTGAAGCTCCTTTCTACGTATTCAGCAAAGAAATCAAGCTGGTTGGTGGCAGAGTCAAGGATTGTTCTATCCCCTTTTGCTTCAGTCAGACTGAATGGGCAAAGGCACCAGAGTGGACTTATGCCACATGCCAGATGAAATTTGGCCACGGGTGGGTTCTGGCCACAGGCTGAGGCTGGGGGCATCCTTCTCTGAGAGAAGGAGAAACTTAATTCACGGCCCTCATATAAGAGCTCTTCTGCAGGATAGCTCAGTCAGTAAAGCGAGACTCTTAATCTCAGGGTTATGGATTCGAGTCCCACTTTGGGCAAAAAGATTCCTGCATTGCAGGGGGTTGGACTAGATGACCCTCGTGGTCCCTTCCAAGTATATGATTCTAGGTGTATTTCATGTGTTTCAATGCTTACTCCTGTGGTCCTGTTCTTCCAGCTATCACAGATACCCTGGCCAGAATCCAACACAGAGTTGAGTGTGCTTGGATTATAGGCCCTGTAGAGGTGACAACAGGACAGGCGTGATGCAATTTGCTGTGCTTTTGCAAGTTTGATGGAAAGGCGTTTCTTTGGGTGTTTTTGTTCACTTGCTGGATGTTAAGCAAGAGTTGGGCAATAGCCTCGGAAGGCCATGAACAAGAGTGACCCGAACTAAAGAATATGCAGTTTCATGCTGCTGGATGTAATCAGTTCCAGCATTGCAGAGATTTGCATTCAGCAGAGCTTTAGAAGTCAAAACAGCCACCATCTAGCCTTATACGGAAATGAAATTTTTCAAAAAGTTGCTGCAACTTACATCAATCCTGGTAGGCCATCTTTCTACACTTTCTCCTGGATGTCCTCTCCCCTTTCCAGCTGAACACAGCAAAATTATGCCTGTCATTTTATTTAAACTCACATTGAGAAATTCCTTTTCTTTTATCCTGAGCATGCCAAATTGGGATTATCTTCTGCCTCACTTTCCCCTTCACATCCAGACCCAGTTCCACGGTGTGATTTTTCTTCCCTAACATTTCCAAAATCCATTCTCCCCTCAGCACCTATTGCTAAAAATCCTTTATCCATGCTGTGAACATATTTCATCCAAATAACAGAAATTTACTCCTCAACAGCCTAGTTCCTTCTTCTCCTCTTCCTTCCCTTTTCCCAGCAGTTCACTTTGCTAGATTCATCTTTGCCTTTGGTCATACATTATGGGTAAAACTTGTTGAAGACATTCATGGATTTTTCCTGTTCCTGTTCCTGTTGTTGTTGTTTGCATGCCATATTGGCTTCTAAGTGATTTACAAGCATATCAATTATAAAATTCTTACATAATTAAAATACACAGTAAAACAATTCCATCAAAACATTAAAATAGCCATATTTAAAATATACAATAAAACAAACCTGTCAAAAAGCATAACAATTACACAGTTTAAAAAGTAATTAAAACAGTTGGATCAAGAAGTTCAGGTGAATGTTTGCCTAAACAGGTGTGTTTTCAAGGGTCAACGGAATGACAATATGAATGAGGCCTCTCGTTTTTCTGCAGGAAAAGCATTCCACAACACTGGTGCCACCAGTGAAAAAGTCCGCTTCCATGTTCCCAGTCTGGGGGCCAGATTCCATTTGGATGCTGTTCAAAATGGCAGCAGTTTGTTGGGTCAAAACCAAGAGACATTATTATAATTATTTAATTTATTGCCTACCCTTCACCCTAAGGCCCCAGGGTGGGCTACAATTGAAAAACAATAATATAAAAACTTACACTTAAAAAATAGCAGTTTCTGCTGTTATGTTAGGCCTAGCCAGAGATCTCTGTGAACTGGCTAGACTAGACCCCAAAACCATATTTGTTTGTTTTATTTGTGAAATATGTATGCTGCCTTTCCAGTAAATGGTGCTCTAAGCAGCAAGTGTATTGAGGCTTATGAGGGTCAAGGCCAGAGCTTCCAAATTTCCAGGGCAAAAGGATGGTCATATTCTTAAGTAAGGAAGCATTTTAGACAACAACAATAGTTACAATGTGCTAATTTTATTTTAACACAGTTTCTAGGCTCCAGAGATTGCCATCACCAAAACTAAATCTCTCAAATTTGACTATAAATTCCAGAAGGAATTTTCATTAATATGCACAGGGGCAGGGGAAAAGGGATTAAGAACTACTAAGGTTAAATATTTTTGTCAATATTTTCATACCTTTTGGTAGTATGACTGGACAGGTAGAAAAAAATACATACTGAGGGTAAGTTGCATGAATGTCTATCCAGGCTGGCTTTAAGACGCTGATTTCTCACATATTCCTTTTCTATCTTATGTTTCCTCACTCCACTTCCCAACTCCAGAGGTGATTGTCGAGTCAGCTTTGCACAAGTGCGTCTTGAAGCCTTTAAAAGACGCCATCAATACCTATCTTAGGGAAATCCACAGCAAAGATGGATCCTTCAAGCTCCTGAAAGAAAACCAGCAAGTCATACAAAACACAACGACCACTGACTTGGGAGTCACCACCAGTGTGCCTGAATCCACATTGCTGGAGAAAATCCTGCACAAATTCACAACCATGCACAAGGCCTACTCTCCAGAGAAAAAGATTAGCATCCTACTGAAGTCCTGCAAACTCATCTACGACTCTATGACTCAGGGAAACCAAGGTACTGTACAACCATCCTAAAACTTCTCTTTCTATAGATATGTATCACAGTATGACAACTAGTTCTGAACTGTATTGCTAAGCATGTCATAGCTTGTCTGAAGCCACTGCTAAAGCTTCTGGCGGTGTTTGTTAATGGAGACCAAAGCACAAAAGAGATATTTGGAGAGGCCCAGGAAATAGTTTCATTCAGCACAGCAGGGGCAGTTACAGGAATTAGGGTGGTGGTAGCAGCACCTTCAGAAGCAAGCAATGAAAGCATTCAAGAATATTGCGTGTCAAAACATGTTGGGACCCCAGTTGTGTTGGATTAAGCTGGCCTTCCCCAACCTGGTGCCCTCCAGGTGTTTTGAACTACAACTCCCATCATCCCCATCCAGCAATGCCAATGGCTGGGGGTGATGCGATTTTTACTCCAAAACAGGGGGAGGACACCAGGCTGGGGGAAGGGTGAATTAAGTGTTTTCCTGTGGTGCTATTCTCTTCTCTGTGGCTGTTATTGGTGACTGTATTTCTATGGAAAGAGAGACCTTGTGCTCCCTGTTTTGAGCTTTTTTAAAAAATCACAGCAGCCCAGGTAGGGCAGGGAATATCTTTCTTTTAGCAAAGGAATGTAGTAATACTGACAAAAGACTGGAATACAATAAGACCGGGAAGAATAGGCCTAGCACAGGAAATGCAACTGTGAAATTAAGGAGATAGGCAGCTATGTCTCTATGCGTGTTTTTTGTGTACATATTCAACTGAAGACATTGGGAGCCCAGAGATGATGATGATGTCCTCTCCAAGTTGCTCAGTCTGTTTACATGGTTCTCCTTCCCCCTGTTTTATCCTTGCAGCAGTCCTGTGATGTAGGTTAGACTGAGTAATGATGTCTGGCCTAATGCATACCCTCCAACACTTTGAAGCCCAAATCCAGGACAACATCTTCCCAGATACCGATGTTGAGGTCCGTTAATCGGGCCCAAGCTGCCTTGGTCACTGAAAGGCCAATAAATGCCATAGACAGAAGAGATTCCCATAACCACTTGTTTATTCCGCTGAGTAAAACAGAGCGGGCAAGCCACACTCACCAGTGTGATGGTGAAGCCGCCACAAATAGCCTTTGTTCATACTTTTTATAGGCATCCCCTCTCCCTTGCCCCCTTTTGAGGTTCCTTGCGCTGATCGAAATAGGACACCCTGCCTGGAGACCTTGAAGGGGAGAGCTGCCTGGCAGAGGGAGGTTTTCCTGAAAATCGCCTAGCAACGTTATCTGGTCTTCACATATTTGTGGCTCACCCTCCTAAATTCAAAAGCAGGCAGTTTTTTTACAGAAGCAAAATGGCATCAGTTAGGCTAACCCAGGCATAGGCAAACTCGGCCCTCCAGACGTTTTGGGACTACAATTCCCATCATCCCTATCTAACAGGGCCAGTGGTCAGGGATGATGGGAGTTGTAGTCCCAAAACATCTGGAGGGCCGAGTTTGCCTATGCCTGAGCTAACCAAAAAACAGTACGAGAACATGCCTTTGTGGCTTTTCCTGAGACCCCACACCATCTTCCCATTTTTTATCACAAGAACACAGTGGCTATTTGGGTTGCCATGATCTCATGCAATTTTGTGCCATAGCTTCCCCATCACCAAAAAAAGTGTTTTATTTTTAGGCACACCCAAAACACCCAATGCCTCTTTTGGGGTGCCACACAAGATTGTGGCCCCAGAAAATGCATTTTCCCAAGGGAAATCGTGCAAGATCATGGCAGCCAAAATGGCTGCCGTTCTCTCATGATAAAAAACCGGGATGTCCCAGTTTTTCCAGGACACTTGCAAAGTATGCTAAGGATGCAGTGAGGTTCATGGCTGAGTGGGGATTTGAGCTCTACATGTCTGCTCAGAGTTCAATGATACTTACACCTAGGTAAGTGTTTGTATAGGATTGCAGCCTGAATTTCTGTAGGACTAGTGCACTCCCTGGATAGGGTGATGTCCGAATGATTTGCTTAAAGACGCTTGTAAAGTGTTTCGAGATCCATGAATAGGAGTGGTGTGTTGTTTAGTCATTTAGTTGTGTCCGACTCTTCGTGACCCCATGGACCAGTGCACGCCAGGCACTCCTGTCTTCCACTGCCTCCCGCAGTTTGGTCAAACTCATGCTGGTAGCTTCGAGAACACTGTCCAACCATCTTGTCCTCTGTCATCCCCTTCTCCTTGTGCCCTCAGTCTTTCCCAACATCAGGGTCTTTTCCAGGGAGTCTTCTCTTCTCATGAGGTGGCCAAAGTACTGGAGCCTCAGCTTCAGGATCTGTCCTTCCAGTGAGCACTCAGGGCTGACTTTCTTCAGAATGGATAGGTTTGATCTTCCTGCAGTCCATGGGACTCTCAAGAGTCTCCTCCTCCACAAATGATTGATTGATGGATGGATTGCCTCATTGTGCCATGGAACCAAGGGAGAAGCAAACCCATGGGCAGAGCCTTCATTCCTTTATGAAGGTCTGGGCAGGGTTCCAATTCCTTTTAACTCTGCATTCAATTATTTAATACCAGTTTTCGTCCAAGCGCTGGAGCCCAACCAGAGGCTGATGCTGCAGATAGTTTCCCTAGACTGTAATAGCATGGGGGCTTGTAGCACTGGAGAGGGCTTATTTTTAAGCCTCTTATAGATATTTATGAAACAAATGTTTCATGTCATTGAAAAATAGAAATAAATGGGGGAGGCAAGCTGGATTTAGAATAAGGCAATTCTACCTTGAACAAGTGAGACCGTTTCCAATGTCATTGAAGCAGGCGTTGAAGGACCTCTGGCTGTTTCTGAGCTCTGTGATGTGAGCCACGGGATGAATGTAAAGGAGACAATTGAGTTTGCACAGAATTTCTCTCTTTCTCTCTTTCTTCCCTCCCTCCCTCACTCCATAAAAACAGAAAATATTGAAATTTTGCATGCATTCCAAGCATTTTCAGTATAAAATGTTGGTTTATAAACATTTGGTAGGTTTTTCAAAAGAACTGGAGGAATAGAATCATAGAGTTAAAAGGGATCTTGGAGGCCATCTGTTATAATCAAGGCTAGATGCACAGTCCAGGCTGCAACTACAGCATCCCTGACAGATGTCCAACTTCTGCTTTAAGTGCCTCCAGCAAAGGACAGCTGAAGACATCCTTATCTGCTTTTGAGAAGCACTTAGTGTTAGGAAGTTTCTCCTGGTGCTCAAGGTGAACTCTGCTTCCCTGCAACTTTTGCCCTGTGGTTCCAGTTCTTCCTCTGGAGGACAAATTTTCAGAGGAAAATGCCAGTCGCTGGGAGCCGCAGGAAGGGAGAATGCTCGCACACTCAGATCTTGCTTGCAGGCCTGCCAGAGGCCACTGTGAGGACAAGATGCTGGGCTTGATGGGTCTTTAGCCTCTGGTCTTATGATGCTGGACACAACATTTTTACAACACATCACTAAAATGAACCCATGATTGATCCACCAGTACAGACAACTCCCCATTTATGCAGGGGCTACATTCCGAGGCACCATATGTTTAAGTGAAAATGTGTATATTTGAAACGCCATTGAAAAAGCCTGCAGACACCTGTTACACCCCTGCCCCCAACACTTTTTGTGACATTTTCAGGTCATTTCCAGGTTCGGCGAGATGTGTGTGTGCACAGTTGCGCACATATCGGATGCACCTAAAACAGTCGCTGCCTGTACTAAATATTTGCACAAGTAATAAATACATTGACATCTTCCTCTCTTACTCTTACTGTTTCCTGAACCTCCCAGAGATGGGAATGACTTGCCAAGCTCACAAATGGAACCGAACCCACATTCTCAAAGCCCAGCTCACATTTTGGACCATTATAGCAGGGGTTCCCAAATGGTGGCCGGTGGTGTTTCTGTGAATTCGTGGTTGAAAACAGGAAACGGCACGTCCATTGCATTCAGTATTCATACTGATGATTTGTAACCTGCATTTTAATGGCCTCTCTTATTTTTAGCATTGTATTCTGTTGTATTGCAGTCTGAATTTTGTGGAGCACTACAAAATACAATGCAAAAGAAATAAAAGAAGCAATACAAATACAATTAGAAATCATAATGCATCTTGCACAGTGCATTACCGTTGCTACAGCAGGGTGCAGGGAGCTAAGTGGTCCATCAAGACCCTTAGCAATTTTCAAGCGGTCTGGCAGAGGCAGGGGTGAGTTTGGGAATCACTGTATTATAGATATTGGATGCCACTTAACTAGCCTGCTTACTGAGTGTCCTGCATAGGGCTCCATTTTTTCATGCTCACCCACATTGTTACTTTGTAAGGATCGTATTTAGCATGCTGGGCCTTTATGGGTTTCACCCATGAAGCCACTGTGGTTTTCGCCAAGCTAGGAACTGCTTCATGCAGTTCCACTGCCAAGGGATGGATAAAGTCTTGCTTTTGTTGTTTGGTCATTTGCCTCTTCCATTTCCGTAGCAGAAGAGGATATTTCTTTTTGCAGTTTTCATACGCGAGGCTTAAATTGCCTCTGAAGCTGTCTTTCACTATTTATGCTAATTTCTGATCATAGCCAATGCGGATGTGGAAAAGAGAACGAGAGTTAGTTATAATGTAAATGGGATTTCCCCCCCGCATTCATTTTACAGGCACATTACCAAAACAACAAAGCCACACCCCCACCCCCACCCTGTTGAACTCAGGTGTAAAAATGCTTGTAGAATGCCAGGTGCTGATGAAGATGTCAATCATGGTGGGAGGCAAAAGCATTCAGTCCTTCGGATTACGTATTCCTCATGTTTACTGGAGCAGATACTAAATCTGGAGTGCATTGTGGGGCAGAAGAATGATGGGCCTGGCTTTTAAGGCTTCTGGGTTCTCTCTCATAGGGAGGCCAACAACTGCAGAAAAGGGAGAGGTTTCAGAGAGGCATGTGCTGTGTACACCATTTAGGAACAGATTACCGTATTTTTTGCTCTATAAGATTCACTTTTTCCCTCCTAAAAAGTAAGGGGAAATGTGTGTGTGTCTTATGGAGTGAATGCAGGCTGCGCAGCTATCACAGAAGCCAGAACAGCAAGAGGGATTGCTGCTTTCACTGCGCAGCGATCCCTCTTGCTGTTCTGGCTTCTGAGATTCAGAATATTTTTTTTCTTGTTTTCCTCCTCCAAAAACTAGGTGCGTCTTGTGGTCTGGTGTGTCTTATAGAGCGAAAAATACAGTAAGCAGACTTTTGCCGAGTCCACCTAGTTCAGCATTGTCTACCCAGACTGTCAGCAGCTATCCATGGTCCTGCAGCAGAGGTCCTTCACATCACCTGCAACCTGTCCATTTAATTGGAGATGCTTCACAGGAGATGCTTCACAGCAGTTTCCATATGAAACACAAATGGCTTTGGCCTGGTCTGCACACATTGCAACAAAAATGAGGAGGCAGTTGGATGGGCAGTACTATCTGAGACTGTAGTTGAGGGGTGTCACAATTTTAATGCTCCTCTTCCTTTAAAGTTCCCTGCAAACACAACATAGTAGCAAAGGTATGGGATGTTTTATTTCTCTCTGTTGTGCTGGTATTCTATTTGCAGGGATATTTTTTGGAGGAGTTTTCAGAACTGTGAACTCCCACCTCTGGTCTGAAATAGGGATGTTGGAAATGGAAGCAGAAATTGTCAGTGTTTGCTTATTCATCCCATGTCTGGAATGGAAATCAGCCCTGCAAATATGGATGCTATTTGCTGTTAATTGTTTAAAGCCTGCAAACAATGCATAATTGGTTACTCACAGCAACCCCCGCTCCCTACACATACGATATGCATTGCATTTCCTTTGCCTTGAAATGAATGGTGTGCAACAGTGTAATTAATTGTGTGGACAGAGAGATAGATAATGTATTTCTTGTCAGAAGCCAAAGTGCAGTGGAATGGAAACACTTCTGAGTATTGGAGCAGAAATTGACGCCTTCTTACACACCTAGTCTGAACTGATACCAGCTCATCCCCCTCTTCATATGTTGACCATCCTTTATCTGCACATTCATTGATCACATGTCATTATACAGTGGTAACTTGGGTTACATATGCTTCAGGTTACATACGCTTCAGGTTACAGACTCCGCTAACCCAGAAATAGTACCTCGGGTTAAGAACTTTGCTTTAGGATGAGAAAAGAAATCGTGCTCCGGCGGCGCGGCAGCAGCAGGAAGCCCCATTAGCTAAAGTGGTGCTTCAGGTTAAGAACAGTTTCAGGTTAAGAACGGACCTCCAGAACGAATTAAGTTCTTAACCTGAGGTACCACTGTAGATATATTTCAGTTCCAAACTTTATGCCAGGAAAACAGCTGCAGATAAGTTCTCATATAGTCACTGAAGAGAGATTTAAATTATTGGAGACACTTAAACTGAAACTACATTGTGGCTCTTCCCTCATCTTCTTCTTCTTCCTCCTCCTCCTCCATGGCTAAATTCAGAATACAGTACCCTATATGTACCTTTTGACTTATTTAGGCATCTTGAGTTATTGGAATCATAGAATTGTAGAGTTGGAAGGGACACAAAGGGTCATCTGTTCTGACCCCCTGCAGTGCCTGACTAGTTGATTAATTAGTTGATTATTTCCAGTTCTCGTAGCAATGCATATATTATAACTGTTATCGCCTACCAGCCTTTATAATACATGCAGGGAAGGGACAAGGGTGAAATTGCAAAAATTGCAAAGTGATAATTTGGAGAAATGTTACCTGTGCTTATTACCAGCTCAGCGAGGGAACACAGCTTAGTAACAACAGCCATATAATGTCAAGCAAAGGTTAGATTTCTTGGGGCAAAACCCACAAAGATGTCTACTCATTAAAATGAGGAAGAGCATGGAAAAGCATTGCAATGGAAAGAGTTACTCTTGACTGATGTAGAAGGCCTGCTATACACATATATCAGAATAATACAGAGAAATTCTGGGGTGGCAGATAGGGGACAGTACTGTTTCAGACTGCGGGTGAGTTATTATGCGTGCTCCATAGACATTTACCTATTTAACTATAGTGGCTTTCCGCTTTGACATTCTTAAGCACATCTGTTTGGTCATTGTGAGAACAGAATGTTGGACTAGATGGACTACTGGCCTGATCACCAGGCTGCTCTTACGTTCTCTTGTTCAGGTTCCACTAAACAAAGGAAATTTTCTTCTTCTTTTTTGTATTTTTATTTCTTTCTTTATTTATACAACAAGAAAAAAACACACACAAAAAAACACAAATACCAAATTACACACAAATTACAAAAATAACCATAGACACATAATTTTCTTGGCAAACAATAAAACATCTATTGGTCTTAACACTAAAGACCCAACTTCCCGTCTATTCCATATTTCAAATTCATATTACGTATTGCCAATACACTTTTTTTTCATAATTAAACTTATTCTCAATAAATCTAATTTCTTCTATCTACCTAGCAACTATCACTGAAGTTCCTCGAATGCTGCAACAGAATTTAAACTACTATATTTATTTTTCAGATATTCTTTGAAAACCTCCCATTTAGAAACAAATTCCTGTTTTGATTTATTCTTTATTTTTTCTGATAAACCATCTAATTCGGCATATTCTGTCAGCTTTTGGATCCAATCTTGTATAGAGGGGATTTCATTACTCTTCCATTTTGCTGCAGCGATCAAAACTCTTGCTGCCGCCGTTGCATATAAAAAGATACCTGTCAGGGAACTGACATCGGAGCTAGAGGCGGAGGGAAGGCTCTCAAATGATGCTGGAGAAGGGCCCAGCAGGGAGAGAGGCAGCTCAGTAGATGGGGAAGCAAATCAGCGCAACACCAGGGATAAAGGGGGGCAGATGGGGGAATCGGCGAGAGGGCTCCAGGACTCTTCACCGGACACCAGCGGGGAGAGCACGGGTCCTCCGCTACCCACGCCCTCCCTGCGCAGAAGACTTCCGCGCAGGGAGAGTAGGAGGAGACTTGGCGTCAAACAACTTTTATGTTGGAAAAGGTTTAAGAAACGCCCACTGACAGATTCTGCTAGCGACTGAGGCAGCCACGAAGTGAAGGGCTGTCCAGACAGAAAGGTTTAACAAGGCGACATAGCCAGGAGAGGCGGCAACTTATGCACGAGCAACCCATACTCATTACAATACCCTTCCTCTTTTGTGGAATATCCAAATCTGTTATTCCCAGGAGGTAGGCCTCTGGTTTTTTATTGAAAGAGATCTTTAGCATTTTTTGCAGTTCTGCATGTATACTCTCCCAGAATACCTGTATTTTCCTACATATCCACCACATATGGTAGAATGTTCCTGAGTCTCTGCATCTCCAGCAATTACTTGACACATTTTTATACATTTTTGAAAGTTTCCATGGAGTTATATACCATCGATGTTGCATTTTTTGAAAGTTCTCTCTAATTGTGTAACAGTTTGTGAATTTCAAATTGATCTTCCATAAATTTTCCCATTGGGCCATGGTTATTGGATGGCCAAAATCCTGGGACCACCTCACCATTGCCACTGTTACCTCCTCCTCCTTGACTGTCCAGTCAAGGAGGAGTCGGTAAGTTTTGGAAAGAGGTTTTCTTTTAGAGTTTACAAGATCAGATTCGAATCGGGAAATTTCTGCTGAGAACCCCTTTTGTTTGTCAGATTTAAATTTTTCAAATAACTGATGGTATTGGAACCAGTCTGAAATGTGTTCTCTTATCTTCTCAAAGTTTTTTAATTTTATTTGGTTATCCTCATTTTTTAGAAGTATTTTATATGTTGGCCAACTTTCCTGAGTATTTTTCCGTTTTACTGCTATGGCTTCTACTGGAGAAGTCCACCACGGAACTTTAGGCTCCATCAGGTCTTTATATTTTTCCCATACAGCAAAGAGTGTAAAAATTTTACAGACGCAATTCTCCATGATAATAAATGAAGAGATAGAATGGAAGATAAAATGGTTGAGACATAGAAATTTTGAGTTTGCAAATAAACCAGGCAAACTTCTGGCCTGGCAATTAAAGAAGAAAAAGGAAGATAGAATTATCAATAAAATTAAAATTGAAGACAAATGGATTCAAGAAACGAAGGAAATTAGTAAAAACTTTGCTAGTTTTTTCGGAAAACTATATAAAGAAGGTCCAGAGACTCTAGAAAAATAATTGATTATTTCGGCAAAAATAAACTACCAATAATACCTAAGGAAAAACTGAAATCTTGAACTCACCAATAACAGCTATGGAGGTGCAACAAGCTATACAGAGATCAAAATTAGGAAAGACACCGGGCCCAGATGGTCTTCCAGCTAATTACTATAAAAAGTTAGAACAAGCATTATTTCTTCCCATGAAAGACCTAATGAATAATATTCTGGCAAATGGAAAGCTTCTGAAAACCTGGAAGGACAGCTTTATTATTCTTATCCATAAACAGGGAACAGATGCCTCAAACATGGCCAATTACAGACCCATTGCACTGCTAAATAACGATTACAAGATATTCACAGACATTCTTGCAAATAGATTAAAAATAGTGCTGAACGAGATAATTCATAAAGATCAAACCAGATTTCTTCCCGGACGATTTATGAAATCCAATATTAGATGTGTGATTGATGTATTAGAATATTTGGATATTAAAATTGATAAACCAGCAGCTATTATGTTGGTGGACGCTGAAAAAGCTTTTGATAACGTGTCCTGGAAGTTTATGAAAAAATTAATGGAAGAAATCAGACTGGGAGAAAATATTTGTAAAGGAATAAATGCCATCTATTCGGAACAATATGCAAAATTGATCATCAACGGAAGAATTACTGAGGAGTGCAAAATAAACACGGGAACAAGACAGGGCTGCCCACTGTCACCACTGATATTTATCTTGGTGATGGAAGTCTTGAACAATCAGATAAGAAAGGATGAGCTTGTTAAAGGCATCACTCTGGGAAACAAAACATATAAAATTAAAGTTTTTGCGGACGATTTACTTGTTATGACTGAAAACCCTAAAGAAAGTCTGAAAAGAGTGCTGGAATTGATTAAAGAATTTGGAGATGTGGCAGGCTTTAAACTGAATATAACAAAAACAAAAATGCTTGTTAAAAATGTAGCCACAGAAGAAAAGGACGACTTAGAAAAAATATTGGGCCTGAAAATCTCTTCAAAAGCGAAATACTTGGGTATTTGGATCACCCCCAAGAACATAAACTTATTTCAGGATAATTACACCAAAACTTGGTTAGAGATTAGAAAAAACTTGGTAATCTGGAGTAAACTAAAATTAACATTTCTGGGTAGGATTTCCATTATAAAGATGAATGTGCTTCCAAAATTAATCTTTTTATTTCAAATGATTCCGATACTGGGTGAAGCAGGTTGTCTCAAGATATGGCAAAGAGAAATTTCCAAATTCTTGTGGGAAGGGAAGAAACCCAGGATTAAACACCTGATCTTAATAGGCATAAAAGAGAGGAGGCTTTTCCCTACCCGATCTAAAACTTTACTACGAGGCTGCCTGTTTCACCTGGCTAAAAGATTGGTGCACGTTGCAGGATCTGGACCTCCTGGACCTGGAAGGTTTTGACAACCGTTGAGGATGGCATGCCTACCTAATATATGAAAAAGCGAAAATTCATAAAAATTTTACCAACCATATAAAAACAAAGGAAATTTTCTTAATCTGTGGTGATTATGTGTTTAGAGAATCAAGTAAAGATGTATATATATAATCCAAAAAGGTATAACCGTAGCGCATACCGGCTTGGTCTGCTGTCTAGGTGCTGACTGTTGATGGGCAATTTCAGGACCCTCCCTGCTCTCCTTGCTTTATATTTAACCTGGACAGCCCTGTGAATAGAGAACTGTTCTCAGTGAAGTAGAAGAAGAAGAGTTTGGATTTGATATCCTGCTTTATCACTGCCCTAAGGAGTCTCAAAGCGGCTAACAATCTCCTTTTCCCTTCCTCCCCCACAACAAACACTCAGTGAGGTGAGTGAGGCTGAGAGACTTCAGAGAAGGGTGACTAGCCAAGGTCACCCAGCAGCTGCATGTGGAGGAGCGGGGAAGCAAACCCGGTTCACCAGATTACGAGTCCACCGCTCTTAACCACTACACCACATTTATTATTATGATTATTATTTCTTCCATTTATACACTGCCTTTCATCGATCAAGAACACAGGACAGTTCACAACAATAAAAGCAATAACACAACCAGCACAAGCATTTTTAAAATGAAAGCTTTAAAGCATGGCAATACAACAGCAAACAGATCAATACAAGTGACCCCGCACAAAATGTCAGAGCATCCTATAAGCCTGGCTGAATAAATGGCCACTCTAAGCCAGATCTGAAGGAATGCGTTGGCCATATTAACTGCTGATCCTGCCCTTTCATCAATGCCTACTTCTTGCAGCTAAATTCGGCCCTCCATCCACACCCACCTGAGACTTCCTCAGTACCAGAAACTGCAATACTGTACAAAGGAAACATTTTGCCAAAACACCCACTGAACAATGAAGCCTTTTTAAATGTTTGACAACCTGGCTGTGTATTTTTTGCACAGCAGGAAACATGACTCTCATAACGTACAGAGCCCAGCTAATAACAGCATAAGATTTTGTTTATAAAGAGAGTCTTAGCACTCGAGCGTTCCACCACTTTGTTTTAACTGAACTGGCTTTCCCTTTCTACACATATTCTCTGGTTTACTTAAAGTTTATTTATTTTTTGATGAGGGAACAGAAGAATATTTATATAAGGCTCCAGCTGAGTATAACCGTCAGCTTCAAATAAAACCCCTATTGACTTTGCCTGACATATAAGGAAATGTGTTTCATAGGAAATACTTGTATCAAGCCAATGGCCACAAACTCATGCACAGCTAAGCATGTTTAAGCTTATTGATTTGAATAGACTAAAGTGCGCTTAAACATGGGGTGGAATGTGGCCAGTGAGAATAAAGGGAAGCCTATCTTCTATCACGGCAGCAAATTCACGGTGGCAATAATTTTAAAGGACCTTCAACATTTGGTCTTTTAGAGATGGATGACTGTAATAGTAGTGCATGGAAGAAAATGACTGTGCACCCTGCAAACAGAAATTGAAGGTTGCTTTTGATGTTATTTTTCTTAATACATAACTCTCAAAACGTTTCTAAGGAAATAACACACACTTTTGGAATGTGCAAAGGTGTGGATGAAAAACTGTCCCATACACACTGAGATTCCTAAAGCATATCCACCATTCGTGTGTCTCAGATTTGCATCTGACCATTCACACATTACAAACAATAGATTCAGACTATCCCTTTCTCCTTTCTTGCACTGCCTTACACAGCTGCTTCTGGGCAATTGAAGGGGTCAGTTGCATGACAGCGTTTTCCAGACCATGCTTTTTTCTTTTTCTTTTTAGCAAGCACTGACTGTAGAAATCCCCTGTACATCAGACTTTTTCATATAAGGTGGAGGCTCATTGCAGGCAGGCTGAGGATGGTGTGGCTATTTGCTCCATTGGACCAGCCAGCACAGGATTTGGTTGGAAACAGGATGGTGGGCTAGATGGCCTTTGGCCTCATCCAACAGGGCTTCCCTCATGCTCTTAAATTCATTCCAAAATACGATTTTCCAAAATACGGTTCTTTCTCGCAGTAATGAAGCCACTGGGAGAGTATGAAAACCTGTACTGCTGGCAAATTCATTTGCACATTTACATCTTCATCAGCCCTGTTTCCTAATCTGTGATTTGGCAGCTATGAAGCACAGCTGCTCTACAAAATCTGTGAGAAGGACTGATTTGCACATTAACCTAGGCTAACGCAGGTTGTGCATGGTGGGGGCCAACTGTTGGGCCTTTGCCTTCTCTTCTCTTCTCTTCTCTTCTCTTCTCTTCTCTTCTATTCTCTTCTCTTCTCTTCTCTTACTGCATGTCGGTTTTGAATGTTGAAATCAGCTCTCAGCCTGCTCAGTTGTGTTATCTGAATAGGCCTCTTCTTGTTTCAGGGAAGCTTTACGGGGCAGATGACTTCCTCCCGGTGCTCATGTACGTACTCGCCCGCAGCGACCTGCCAGAGGTGCTTCTGAATGTGGAGTACATGATGGAACTCATGGACCCTGCACTGCAGCTGGGTGAAGGTATGAAAGACCTCCTTTGTGGCAGAGGGAGGAGAGAGGGTGGAGGTTCGCATGGGCACACCACTGGCAGAAATGAGTACAAGCTGCCCAGCAACCATAATTGTAAATGTTTATCCCAACTTTACATCTGCTCTTCAGCTATTGGCCAATGGCAGGGCCGTCACCAGAGGACATTTGCCAAGGCCACCATCCTAACATTGGTAGCGTTTCTACTTTGTACAGAGTATGCAGAAGGGTCAAATGCAGCCTAAGAGACTTATTATGATTATCAATTAAATTTGTATACCATCCTTCATTCGTAGATCTCAGGATGGTTCACAACATAAAATTACAATATAAAAAGCACAAAGTAGATAATAAAAATAAGAACAACAGCAAACCAATAATCCCTCCTCCCACAACACATTTAAAAGGGCATTGGATTTCAGTCAGCCAAAGGCCTGGTTGAAGAGGAACATTTTCTCCTGGTGCCTAAAGCTGCTTGATGAAGGCACCAGGTGAGCCTTCCTGGGGAGACCATTGGACAAGCAGGGAGCCACTGCAGAAAAGACCCTTCTCATGTTGGCACCCTCCGGAGTTCTTGTGGAGGAGGCACACAAAGAAGGATGATCTCTTTTTTTTTTTAAGAATAATTTTTTATTAACCGACCAATCACATCAAATCAAACCAAATTACATAAATTCCAAATTACAGAGCCGAATTTTAAATTTTTGTTGGGGGTACCCATATTTCAAGTTCCGAAGGGATCCAATCAACTTCTTGCTTCTTACTGCTGTTTTAATGTCCACAAATCTAACCTTATGATGTTCACAGTACTATCCAGTCCTTTCTTATTATTTTTCCACATCAGAGGATGATCTCATGGTCCAGGTCTGTTCATATGAGCAGTGGTGGTCCTTGAGGTATTGCAGTCCTGAGCTGTTTAAAGCTTTATAGGTCAAAACCAGCACTTTGAATTGGACCCAGAAACTAATTGGCAGCCAGTGCATTCAGGCCAGGATTGGCGACATGTGCTAAAACTGTCTTGTCCCAGTGAGCAACCTGGCCACTGAATTCTGCACTAGCTGAAGTTTCCGAACTATCTTCAGAGGCAGCCCTACGTATAACGCATTGTAGACTACTTCTGGCTCTTTAAGGTTGTGAAGGTCCCACTCAGGGTGCCATCCTAGAGCCACCAAGATTCCCCCTTACTTTTTTTATTTGTTCATTCTTCATCTCCTGAGATCTACAGCCATGATCACAAGTGGCTACTGGGGGTGCCAGATTCACATGACAGCAGATGGCCCTTGGATGGTGGATGTGGGAATGCTTTTGGTTTGCACAACAGTTTGATTGTGTGACATAGGTTTTTGGGCTGTTACACCAGAGCCACTTCATACATTGACCTACAGTGGCTTAGAGAGAGAGAAAGAGCTACCAATCAGGAAATGAATTTGGGACCTTTTGCATGCACAGCACGTGCTCTGCCACTGAGTGAGCTTTCCCCCTCTCTTCTTTCATGTGACCTTAACACTATGCTCAAGGTTTTGAGGAGGAAGGCATAACTGGGCAGACAATGGAGGGCAGACAAAAGGAACTACTTCTTCACACACAGTTAAACTACCGAATTCCCTGCCACAAAATGGAGTGATTGCCTTCAACTTGGGTGGCTTTGAAAGGGGATTCGACAAGTGTTTGGAAGATAAGTCTCTTGTTGGCCATAATGGCTTTATATTACCTCAGAATCAAAGGCAGTATGCTTCTGTATCCCAATTTCTGGGGAGCACAAGTATCAGAGTCCCACAACACTCCTGTCCTGCTTGCGGACTTCTCATAGGAGTCTAGTTGGCCACTGGGAGAGTAGGATGCTGGGCTAGATAGACCTTTGGTCTCCTCCACCAGGACTCTTCTCATGTTTCCATTAGGGATGTCAAAGGATTCCAATTCGCTCCGCTTTGGGGAGCAAGCCTATCCATTTCGGATCACCAGACCCATTCACGGCCCAGAACATAGATATGTGGAATTTCCCATATGATGAGCTGATGTATGCTAGGGTCTGGCAACATGCTCAAAAGATAGTCCAAGGACTGCCTTCTTTCTTTTAAAAAGTTTTACAGCTGCTTGGAGCAGCTAATAACTTCATTGTGTCTGCGTGGTAAAAAAGGCCATTTGAAATCCTCATAGGAAGCCACTGTGCATCATAATGTGCCGTCCCTTCCTGGAGAATCATGCGGAGAAGATGGCTACCTTTTCTTCTGTATGTTGTATCCCTGGGTAGCCTTACAAGGATGTTATGGATTTTTAAAAAATATTTTTAAAAAGAAAATCTGCACATAAGTTGGACAGACCAGCCCATTTATTACTATTTTGCATATAGGAGAAAGCAACATGGGACAGAAATACAGTGGTGCCCCGCAAGACGAATGCCTCGCAAGACGGAAAACTCGCTAGACGAAAGGGTTTTCCGTTTTTGAGCTGCTTCGCAAGACGAATTTCCCTATGGGCTTGCTTCGCAAGACGAAAACGTCTTGCAAGTTTGTTTCCTTTTTCTTAACACCATTAATACAGTTGCGACTTGACTTCGAGGAGCAACTCATAGAACGCAGTGTACATAGTAGCCTTTTTTGAGGTTTTTAAAGACTTTGGTGATTTTTGAAGCTTTTCCAAAACTTCTTTTGCAGCCAAGTTAAGCTTTTAAAACTTTTTTTGGGGTGGTTGGATTTTGGGTTGGGGTGTTTGGAATTCAAGGACTTGGTGTTGGGGAGGGGTTTGCAAGAATCTGGAAGCTTGTGTGTCTTTTTTCTGCATTTTTTATGATTTTCTGTGACCATTGGGCCACTCTGCTGTTTTTTTTAAAAAATTCTGGATTTGAATTTCTGTGTGCTGGGTGGCTGGGGGGAACAGTTGGGGAGGGGTTTGCAAGAATCTGGAAGCTTGTGTGGTTTTTTTCTGCATTTTTATGACTTTCTGTGACCATTGGGCCTCTCTGCTGTTTTTTTTAAAAAATTCTGGATTTGAATTTCTGTGTGCTGGGTGGCTGGGGGAACAGTTGGGGAGGGGTTTGCAGGAATCTGGAAGCTTGTGTGTTTTTTTCTGCATTTTTATGATTTTCTGTGACCACTGGGCCACTCTGCTGTTTTTTAAAAAAATTTCTGGATTTGAATTTCTGTGTGCTGGGTGACTGGGGGAACAGTTGGGGAGGGTTTTGCAACAGTTGGGGAGGGGCTGGGGGAACAGTTGGGGAGGGGTTTGCAACAGTTGGGGAGGTTGTTGTACCAAATTTGGCTTTGTTTGGACTTTTTTTGACCATAGGAACGCATTAATTGATTTTCAATGCATTCCTATGGGAATTCATGATTCGCAAGACGAAAAATTCGCTAGACGAAAAAACTCGCGGAACGAATTAATTTCGTCTTGCGAGGCACCACTGTAGGCCGATTTGCCCATCTATGCCTTCCATCACAGGCAAAGAAGAGTTGAGTGTATATTTATGACGACAACAACAACAGAGTATAATTAAAGCTAATTACTAAAAAATATATATCTGGCTGTTCCTCTAAGGAGCTCCGAATAGGATACAATGGGCTCCTCTGAAATGTGGTATTCCATCTAGATTTGGCCAGATCCCAGGCTTGATTAGTTGTAAAGACAGAACAGCATCAAACACCATCATGCAGCACTTTTGCAGGAGCACCACAGCAGGGCTGGACACCCAGTTTTTTAACTGAGGCAGTGCCTCTTCTGCCCCCACCTCCATGTCCTTCAGGAACTGGTTCTCCCACCAACACATCAGTCTGTATTTCTTTGAAGACTAAGGTTTCTGGGAGGGCTTTAATTGTCGCACTGATTAAAAGTGCTGTATCTTTAGTAACTTGCCACCTGGTCATATGCCCCAGGGATCCCCAAGGACACTTGCGCAAATAAATAGGTCCCTTTGACAGTGTTGCTGCCTAGGTAATAAAAGCCTAGCGATGTCCCCGAAGGGAGCAGAACAACATGCATTTGGAAAGATATTCTTGTGAATGGTTGCAGTGCTTATTTTGCATACATCTGGAGTTTTGCATAGAAAGGCCATAGTTCAGCCTTCCCCAATCTGGTGCCCTCCACCTGTTTCAGAGTATAATCCCCACCATCCCCAGCCATTGGCCATGCTGGCTGTGGATGATGGGCATCATAGTCTAGGGCTCCACATTCATGACCTTTTGGCCTCATTGTTGATGCCATTAATCGCTCTACACCTCTGTCTCTGTGTGTGCACAGGTAGCTCTCAGATGGTGTGCAATCTACCCCATGAAAGCTCATCACACTGTAAACGCCCCATTGAGTTCAGTGGGGTTTGCTTACATGAGTGGGGCTGTGCTGTAAATCTGCCAGCGTACGCTGTTCTGCTCTAGGTCCTTTGCTGTTGTTGTTTCACTGCAGCAACCTAACCCAGCTACCCTTCAGGAAAAACTTAAGTGAGTCTCTAAACACATCAGCTGCTGCGTTTTAAGAGCAAGCCGTTCTTCTGAAAATATCATTCTCCAGTGAAATGTCAGCCAAATTTATTTACAGTGCAATCCTAACCGTGTCCACTCAGAACTTGTAAGTCCCATTGAATTCAATATATCCATAGAAATTGACATATGCAATGTTTCCGGTGGTGCATTTTCTCTCTCTCTCTCTCTTGCTACGCTCTGTGTGGGTAGGTGGTGGTGGCATTTGTCTTTAATGGGTTCAACCTGGACACAGGCAAATACATACATGGGGGAAGTCCCTTTGATTATAACAGGATAGATAATTATGTGCTTAACTTTTTATTTCGGATCCAGTGGGGCTTAATTTGTGATCAGTTATGCATCTTATGATTTAGGGTTTATTTAAATCATTCCCCTCCCCTAAAAGCAGTACATCAGGCTTTAAAAAACAGCTGGCAAAATTAGGACTGCCTGTGATATTTAGTTGTCGCATCAAATTGGTTAGATTGGCCAAAAATATTTGAGCTTTTGAGGTGCTCCTAATTTATCAGGCAGTAGATTTAAAAATAAGATAAAGTCATTAATTGTTTTTTAGACAAGTGTTTACAAAAAAACCCTGAGTGGGTAGAGTTCATCAGCTTCCTCTCTTGCCAAGGAGAGGGTGCTTCTGCCGAGGAGAATTCTTCTTCAACACCTAATAATAAAAAACCCAAAAATTATTTCCTTCAGAAATATTGTTTTATTCACCTGCTGCTTTGGCATTAGTTCAGCAATCAGTCTATTAATTAAATTGATTGATTTAATCAGCGAAAATGTTCACAATTAATGGACTTGCAATGCAATCACATACGTTTCTACTCAGAAGTCGAAACAATAGGACTTACTCCCAGGTAAGTGGGACCTCTGGGTATAGGCTGGTGTATAAATTCTAATTCTAATTCTAACAATAATAATAATAATGATTGATTGCAGCCTTACTCCCAGGAAACTGTGTACAGGATTGCAATATTTGAACCTTTTTAGTCAACTGACTAAATACAACTCTAATTATAATTCAGACAAATAGAATTCAAGAAAGATCTGATCCACCTCTCTAGTAGGAATTGCTAGATCTTGAAAGATTCTTATCCAAATTCTGTTAAAAAAATAACTGATAATCTGTTGGATTGTGAACAGCTTCTGCAACGGCAAAAGCACACACACACACACACACACCACTTCACATGTGAAAAGAAACTAGCGCAATGTTATTAGCAAATGGGTAGATGGGCACTAAATTACTATTTAAGAGGGAAGAGCTCTAACAATGGAGAGAAGAAATACTTGGGATGAAGAATTTTGCAAAACATCTGCCAAAGGGGAATGTTTGTACCTCTTGAGTTAGATGGAACTGGAAGGAACCAGAAAGTGGAGTGCTAATTAGGTACAACTAGTGGCAAGCTGCATGATAAGGTGATGTTCCTTGCACTATTTTGAATAGCAGATTGTGCAAGGATAAACCCAATCTATCTTCCTGCAACTCCGTTGTTGGTTCCAGAATTGTATGTTGCTTGGGTGCCATCTGCTGGCCACTTCCAATGATGGTAATATTTCAATATTTGCATTTTCAGTCAGTCATCAATCACCATGTCTCCCTTTAAGGATTCAGGTTCCCCTCCTCTCCTGGCATCATGGGCATAGCCAAGGGTCTTGTTGTTGTTTAGTCATTTAGTCGTGTCCGACTCTTCGTGACCCCATGGACCAGAGCACGCCAGCCAAGGGGATGCCCCTCCCTAAATCTATAAAAAATCATAGCTAACTGAGGGCCTGTCCCCCCAACAAAAATCCTGGCTATGTCCATGCCTGGCACATAGCAACATATCTACCTACGCCAGCCAGAATAATTGCTCTTCTTGCTACCTTTATTCTCTTTTTTTTTTTTTAATGATATTTATTAAGGTTTCAAAAACAAAAGGTTACATAGATAAAAAGAAAAGAAACAAAAAAAATAAAAAAGAGAAAAAATACAAAATACAGAAAAAAGATAAAAAACACTTAAAAACAAATCAATCTTTCCGTACCTTACATTTCATTTCCTTACTTCCCTGACCTCCTCTCACCTCCCTTTTTTGTATTCCAATTCAATTGGTTAATTCAGCAATTCCTTTCCCTCTTTGTTTTTGTCTTAATCCTTTAACTTAATATATTATAGCATTAGATTCTCACCTATTAACAATCCATTTTTACATACACCTTTATAACATTGCTGCTAAAACCACTTAACTTCATTCTGACATCATTCTAACATTCATTAATTTTGCAGTATTTCTGTAAATAGTCTTTAAATTTCTTCCAATCTTCTTCCACCGACTCTTCTCCCTGGTCTCGGATTCTGCCAGTCATTTCCACCAGTTCCATGTAGTCCATCACCTTCATCTGCCATTCTTCCAGAGTGGGTAGATCTTGTGTCTTCCAATACTTTGCAATAAGTATTCTTGCTGCTGTTGTGGCATACATAAAGAAAGTTCTGTCCTTCTTTGGCACCAATTGGCCGACTATGCCCAGGAGAAAGGCCTCTGGTTTCTTCAAGAAGGTATATTTAAATACCTTTTTCATTTCATTATAAATCATCTCCCAGAAAGCCTTAATCCTTGGGCACGTCCACCAAAGGTGAAAGAATGTACCTTCAGTTTCTCTACATTTCCAACATTTATTATCGGGCAAATGATAGATTTTTGCAAGCTTGACTGGTGTCATGTACCACCTGTATATCATTTTCATAATATTCTCTCTTAAGGCATTACATGCCGTAAACTTCATACCTGTGGTCCATAACTGTTCCCAGTCAGCCATCATTATGTTATGTCCAACATCTTGTGCCCATTTAATCATAGCAGATTTCACCGTTTCATCCTGAGTGTTCCATTTCAACAGCAAGTTATACATCTTTGACAAAATCTTAGTTTTGGGTTCTAACAGTTCTGTTTCTAATTTTGATTTTTCCACCTGGAAGCCAATTTTCTTGTCCAAATTGTATGCCTCCATTATCTGATAATAATGAAGCCAATCTCGCACTTTGTTTTTTAGTTTCTCAAAACTCTGCAGTTTCAATCTATCTCCCTCTTGTTCCAAAATTTCCCAATATTTCGGCCATTTGGCCTCCATATTGAGCTTTTTCTGTGCTTTCGCTTCCATCGGTGACAGCCACCTTGGGGTTTTATTTTCCAATAGATCCTTATATCTTATCCAGACATTAAACAATGCTTTCCTGACAATATGATTTTTAAATGCTTTGTGTGCTTTGACCGTATCATACCACAAATATGCATGCCATCCAAATACATTATTAAAACCTTCTAAGTCCAAAATGTCTGTGTTTTCAAGAAGCAGCCATTCTTTCAGCTAGCAAAAAGCTGCTGATTCATAATAAAGTTTAAGGTCTGGCAGGGCAAATCCACCTCTTTCCTTTGCATCCGTTAGTATTTTAAATTTTATTCTGGGCTTCTTGCCCTGCCAGACAAATCTAGAAATATCTCTCTGCCACTTCTTGAAGCAATCCATTTTGTCCAAAATTTGCAATGTTTGAAACAAAAACAACATTCTAGGCAATACATTCATTTTTATTTAAAAAATATGGAACGCTTCACGAATTTGCGTGTCATCCTTGCGCAGGGGCCATGCTAATCTTCTCTGTATCGTTCCAATTTTTTTAGTATATGTGCTGCCGAAGCACATATTCTCAGTGACTGTCTCATGAATATTAGTGGTGATGGCAGCAGCAGCAGGTGCCTGTAACTTATCCCTGCCCAACTAAGTTTCCTCTGCAGGGACTGGCACTGTCATTCAGTAACAGTGAAATATGCAATGAGGCGGCAAAGCACTTTGTATTTTATAGCAGGTGTATTCTGCAACCTTTTCTTGATGAAATACAGTACAATGCTCCCAGTACGTTTCCAAGCACAATTCAAAGTGTTGGTGCTGACCTTTAAAGCCCTAAACGGCCTCGGCCCAGTATACCTGAAGAAGCGTCTCCACCCCCATCGTTCTGCCCAGACGGTGAGGTCCAGCGCCGAGGATCTTCTGGCGGTTCCCTCTCTGCGAGAAGCAAAGCTACAGGGAACCAGGCAGAGGGCCTTCTCGGTAATAATAATAATAATAATAATAATAATAATAATAATAAATTTTATTTATATCCCGCCCTCCCCAGCCGAAGCCAGGCTCAGGGCGGCTAACAACAATCAAATAATCAAACAAACAAGTGGCGCCCAACCTGTGGAACGCCCTTCCATCAGATGTCAAAGAGATAAACAACTACCTAACATTTAGAAGACATCTGAAGGCCGTCTTCAGGGAAGTTTTTAATGTGTGACATTTTAATGTATTTTTAATGTTTGTTGGAAGCCACCCAGAGTGGCTGGGGAAACCCAGCCAGATGGGCGGGGTATAAATATATTATTATTATTATTATTATTATTATTATTATTATTATTAGTGGTGGAATCATTGGAATCATTCTGCTTTATCAGTTGTTCTGAGATGCCTACCGCATTAATGCTGTCCGGAAGAAGCACAACAAAAGCGGGACAGCCTCCACTCTCCCCTCCCAACCCTCCAAACATTTGTGGTTTGGAAAGTTACAGGATTTCAGCAGGAAGTAACAGCATATGCACTGGATGGAAAGGAGCACCCCAAAACATTTGCAACCACTAATAACATTCAAAGAAGTTGTGAAGTGAGAAGTTAAGTGAAGCTTGTTGACAGAAAGAAAGAAAGAAAGAAAGAAAGAAAGAAAGAAACCATTTAGGGATTGCTGGGAACTGTTTGAATCTCCTCTTGAGAATTGGTGTGATCTCATAGAATCATAGAACCATAGAATCATAGAATCATAGAGTTGGAAGAGACCACAAGGGCCATCGAGTCCAACCCCCTGCCAAGCAGGAACACCATCAGAGCACTCCTGACATATGGTTGTCAAGCCTCTGCTTAAAGACCTCCAAAGAAGGAGACTCCACCACACTCCTTGGCAGCAAATTCCACTGTCGAACAGCTCTTACTGTCAGGAAGTTCTTCCTAATGTTTAGGTGGAATCTTCTTTCTTGTAGTTTGGATCCATTGCTCCGTGTCCGCTTCTCTGGAGCAGCAGAAAACAACCTTTCTCCCTCCTCTATGTGACATCCTTTTATATATTTGAACATGGCTATCATATCACCCCTTAACCTCCTCTTCTCCAGGCTAAACATGCCCAGCTCTCTTAGCCGTTCCTCATAAGGCATCGTTTCCAGGCCTTTGACCATTTTGGTTGCCCTCCTCTGGACACGTTCCAGTTTGTCAATCTCCTCTTATGTATGAACCAATTTATTCCAAGAGAGAGATATAATTACCCAGAAGACCTTGCATCCTTTTGGCAGAAGTCTTTTAATTCCTTTTGCCACCTCTGATCTACAAAGTGTATTCTGCACTGTGCAGAAGAGAACTTCCACTGTCTCTGCCACAGCAGCTCTGCCTCCCCTAAGCTGTGGACCAGTTCACAGATTCCAGCTGGCATTGTCCCTTGCCATGTTAAGGCTCACTATACTGCTTTTTTAAAAATAATCTTTTTTAACCTGGCTCCCATTTAGCAATATTTGCTTTGGTTGGTGAGAGGCCCATACCCTGAGGTTGGATAGTCATTTGCATGGCAAGTTCCCGCCCCTCCCCAATGGAAATAAAGGCACATGACACAATTATTAAGGTTAATGGGCTAAATAAAGCCACAACTTTATTGGTTACAGGTGATGAGCGGTATTGGCTTAGGCACTGGTCCTAACCAACTATATCCGGCTTCAGCCCGTCCGCTTGAAATCCGGGAAGGTTAACCACCAGTAGGGGGAGTCTTGCTGATGCACATCAGCTAGGAACTCCCCCAGGGTCATCCCTCGGGCGAGCGTGCCTTAGGCCCACACCTCCATAGGCTTCGGACAGGGCCACGCCCCCAGAATCCTTTATCGGACTACCCTTCAATATGCGGGGCAGGTGATGGCGCCTCCTCCCCATTTTCCATCTACATAACACTACCAATACCAATGCCTAACCACCAATACTAAGAAAGTTGTGACGATTTGCTATGAGGTAGGCGAAAACCAAGTGGCTGGTGCCAATTTGCCAAGTGGAAAAAATCCTACCAGGCCCCTCAACGGCGACCAAGCAAGGTCCATAGCAAGGTCAAGGAAGGGAAACCTTAAAGGGCAGGAGGGTGGGAAACAGGAGCAGCTGGCAGCAAAAAGAGGGAGATCCCCGGCTGTGCCTGCATTAAATAGGGCAGGTCACGCCCCCTGAGCCAGCCGATTGGCTAGCCAATCGTGGTGGGGGCATGAAGCCCTCAACACCACCTCCTTTGCAGGGCGGAAGTGGCTATGTCAGAAATTCCTTTGCATTGCAGGGGTTTGGACTAGATGACCCTTGGGGTCCCTTCTAACTTTACAACTCTATGATCACATATAACCCCCCACCGCATCATGAACACAGGTAAACTTGAATGCACAATATAAAGGATGTCTAGAGGTCATGTGTTGCATGAAGCAGTACAAAATCAAGACCGAGTGGTTTGGGCTCTTTAACTTTTTTTCTTTTTCTTTTTTTGTTAGGCTCATACTATTTAATCACTACTTATGGGGCAGTAGAGCTTATCAAGAGCTATGATAAGATCACAGTCACTCGGCAGCTGAGCTCAGAGGTCCAAGATTCCATTCACCGCTGGGAGAGAAGGAGAACGCTTAACAAAGCCCGGGCTTCCCGATCATCTGTTCAGGTTAGCAGATAAATAAATGAAGGAGAGCAATCTGTGTTAACTTCATTATTCATTAACTTACAAATGTAATAAGCAGAGGCCACAAATCACATTAGTGAGGATGAAATTGGCATCCTATCTTATTTCAGCTTGTTGGTTTATTATTTGTAAGCTGCAGTGAGAGCCTGTGGTTTAGGGTGGCACTCATACATTTCAGAGAGAAAGAGAAGCTACCGTATTTTTCACTCTATAGGACGCACTGGACCATAGGACGCACCTTGTTTTAGAGGGGGAGAACAAGGGAAAAAAATCTCCCCATCTCTGCTGAGCGCCCCTTCAGCGAAGTGGCAGGAGAAATGGAGCCCCTTCCATTTCTCCAACCACTTGGCTGAAGGGGCGCTGCGCAGCTCTCCCTCTCTGCTGAAGCCAGGAGAGTCTTGCTCTCCCGGCTTCAGCAAAAGGAACCTGAAGCCTGCGGAGCGCAGCGGGAACTCGCACTGCCCTCCGCAGGCTTCAGGCAGCTATCCCTGAAGCCTGGAGAGCAAGAGGGGTCGGTGCGCACCGACCCCTCTTGCTCTCCAGGCTTCAGCAAAAGCAACGCGAAGCCTCTGGAGCATGGAGGGAGCGCTCCCTCTGCGCTCCGGAGGCTTCGCGTTGCTATCGCTGAAGCCAAGGAGCCTGCATTCGCTCTATAGGACGCACACACATTTCCCCTTAATTTTTGGAGGGGGAAAAGTGCATCCTATAGAGCGAAAAATACGGTAATTTTAAGTTCAAAGGCAGTTTTCAGCATCTTGTCCTTCAACCACATGGTGGCAGCAAAGCTCCCTTTTGCTACAGGAATAAAATACCATATTGGCTCTCTTCACCAAGGCTGTGTACTCACTATGCCTTTAAAGCACAGCCTTTCCCTCGAGGAATTCTGGGCACTCTCATTTCTTGTAAACAAAGCATATGTCATACCCTATTCCCCGGCCTCAAGGGATTTACAGTTGGGAGAGAGTCCCTCAGATACTTGGCATAACATGCCAACTCATAGTCCCCATCTGCACAATAAAGAGTTGATTGAGAGACCCTTACTCCCCTCACAGAACTACGGTTTCCAAAGTGATTTAACAGGCAGTCTTTTCTCCCTAGGAAACTCTGAGAATTATAGCTCTGTGAGGGAAATGGGGGCCTCTAGTCGTGACAACTCTCAGCACCCTAAACAAACTGTGGGTCCCAGAGTTCTTTAAGGGAAGCCATGATTTAAAAGTATAGCGCAGATTAGACCTCAGTTGTCCCTTCTCCAGGCTAAAGGTGTCTAATTCCTTCAAACTTTCTACATGACAGCCATTCGGATATTTGCCAGTGGCTGTGGTACCTCTTAATCATCTAATCTCCAAGCTAAACAAACCTAACTCTTTCAACTTTTCTTTATAGGACTTCATATCCAGGCCCCTCGCCATCTTCACAGCCTTTATTGCTCATCAATAGTATGTTGTTGATTATGATAGATTCACAGTATCTATTAGTGATCACTATCTATCAATTGTCATTTTAATATCTATGGATAACATAACCCATGCTCCTTGTTTCCAGGATTTCATCACAATCTCCTTTATGGAGGCTGAGGCAAACACCAGGACGCTGGCCTACCGAACTGACTCAACAACGCACCAGCTGAACCAGCAGTGCGCTGAGAAATTTGAAGTCCCAGAGCCTCAGAACTATGGGCTGTTTGTTCAGGTTGACGACAAGAACCTGCGGCTAGATGATGACGCCCTTCCTCACCGCATCAAATCCCACCTCCTGAGCAAAGAGCCCAAGCCGACTTTCCATTTTATTTATAAGGAGATGGGTGGAGAGGAACCACCAGTTCCCATTATCAAGGACCCAGATGTTTTATAACAGCCAAGCTGTTCTCTTGTAGCAGACTCGTTCAAACAGCCGTGGCATTTTTCATTTCAAAACTTCCTGATCTCCACCAGGAGCACAGCAAAGTGCATCTTCTGAGCGGAATGCTGATGGTCGAAAGCCTATGCAAATCTTCATCTGGGGCATTTTCTCAACAGAATTCATTTTCCACAGAAAATTGAATATTCCAAGCAGCTTTCACTCTTGGAGGGGGGGGGGGACTTGAACAATTCAGAACCTTAAAACGTGAGCAAATGATGTAACTTTTGTGACAGCTGCCCTGGTACAAAGTAGGTAGGTTTGTGATTATGGGCAAATATCAATCCATCCAGTTATCAAATCATCAGTATTATCAGAGAAGGTCCACCAAAGAAAATTTAAATGGTCCTTCCTGTAGTAGTAAAAAAAGATAATAAAGTGAATCTATGTGGCGTCCTTTCCTTTCTCATCCAAGGAAACAAACTTGGGACCAGCTTGCTGTTTCATGCAAACCAAGTATTCATGGTTTATTTCTCGCCTAACAAATCATGACAATAATAATTATAATTTTATTATTTACACCGCAGCCACTCTGGGCTGCTTAAAGCATATCTAAAAACATAATAAAAACATAAGGCCTTAAAAACTTCCCTAAACAGGGCTGCCTTCAGATGTCTTCTAAAAGTCAGATAGTTGTTTATTTCCTTGACATTTGAAGGAAGGGTGTTCCACCGGGAGGGCACCACTACCGAGAAGGCCCTCTGCCTGGTAAGCCAAGCAACAAACCATAAGTGGTATTTCACACCTAATGGCTTGTTTTCCTGATTTGTTTTACCTCTATCCAGGAAATAAGGGGTAGGGGAGGAGCACCATGAAGACTTTTGAATAGCATATACTAGCACAAATCTTTGCATTAAACGTATTATAATTTGAGCTATGGTTTAACATGACATGTGAACCACTTTTGACAAGACTCCAACATTCCCCACCCCCCACCCTCCCCAGTGGTAAGGCAGACCCTGGATATAAAAGTTATGTGCCTACATAAAATTAAGTCTAAATAGACATTTTTAAAAGAGTGCGCCCCTGCCCCCGGGTATTTCTTTCCTACTCTTCCTTGTAACATTTAGTTCAGGAATAGGGAGAATTTGACCCTTCAGAGCTTGCTAAGCTACACTTCCCATCAGCCCTAGCAAGCATGGCCAATGGCCAGAGATGATGGGAATTGTAGTTCAGAAACATCTGGAGGACCAGAGTTTCCGCACAACCAATTTAGTTGGAAAAGAAACATGTGAAATGATTATGTCCATTGCTCAAGCTTTGCCTTGCATCATTGGCTGTTGGTGACAGAGCAGCATGTGGTGAAGTGATTCCATGTGGCTTTTTCACAAGCAAAAGACACAGAGCTGACACACGTGTAGAAACAATGAGGTGTGTTTTTTTATTCCACCGAGGACACAAATCAGAATCGAGAATCAGATCACACAGTGTGGTGGAAATGTTTTCGTCTTGAATCCACATTGAAGTCACTTCTCTTTACCTTCCACGAACATCCCACCTAACCGTTTAAGGGCAGGCAGTTTTACACGGAGGGAGGGAGGCAGAAGTAGAGGAAGAGAAAGGTGCACAGAGAAAGTGGCGACAAAGGGAGACTTGAGAAGCAACAGCTAGTTATGGGAATTCTGTGTTCTGTAACAATGAAAGCAAAATGTTCAGAGTTAAAATTGGAGGGCTGGGGGAGGGAATCTGTGTAACACCATATGCAGCTTTTGAGATGCTACCACTGAGATAAATGGTGCATATTCTTCTGCTGTTGGTCACCCTGTATGGAAAAAATGTGGGGGTCTTTTAGAAGTCTGTACAGCGGACACAAAAACAAACCTAGGCAGCCTGGATGTAAGTTGTACAGCTCAGTACATATGATGTTTGCAGCATAGCCTTATAATCGCACAATGCATACAGTCTTCCGATATTAAAAAATGCACCCCTGGAGTGAATAATACTGGCATCGTACATGCGGCTAATTGTTACTCCCCACCCCTCAGTTCATTTTAGCTGTAGCAACTTCCATGATCTATTATATGTGTTACACAGTTTTTCTGAGCAGAGAAGTTGTAAGTGGGCTGCCGACTGCTAGGTCATATTTTGCATCAGTGACTTGAGTTAGATGTGCAGACATTGTTTGCTGCTGTGCAGCAAACAATGCCCTAGAAGAACGGTGTTGCTGGTCTACCTCTGTGACAATTCTGCAATGAAAAGTGTGCTGGGGGCATAACCTATCTCTAGAGCTCTAGGTTAGAGTTAAGCTGTCTAAAAGCATTAGAAACAGATTCACCCTGGGAAGCTGCTCCATAATTTTCTAAAGCACACGGTTACGTCCGACCCACTGACTGCTCCCTGCCTGTTGAGGCATGAGCTGTTAAAGAGCTTGAAATCAACCAGTTCTTTAGGAAGTTAGCTACTGTGCTGGACTGATGATATCTTGAGGAGAAAGGGCCTTTTCTGTCACTTTATAAAAGGCGCATCTTCCAACAATGTGTTCTTTTGTTTCGTATAGAAATATTTCATCTCCACCTTAGATATACAGAAGCAGTTTATCAAAACTGTTGCAGTAATGCCTGTTTATGTGTATTTATTTCCCTGTGTCACTGTATGTATTTTGAGCAATGTCTGGTTCATAATCAAAGACTTTGGAGGGCACAAATGCTCGCCGCAGTAATTTTGCTTGGGTCGTCTGCAACAGCTCAGATAAAGAAAGTCAAAGGTCACTGGGTGGCCTCTCAGCTATCACCCTACCTTTTGTACTCAGGGCCTGGAAATGAATCCTCTGACTGTGTTTCCTGTTTAATCTTCTAACGATGCTGTATTGCTGTGTGATTTTATAATATAAAGCCATGCTGTTTAAAACAGTTGTCATTGCTAACGTTCCTCCAAGAAAAACTGCTCCTGTTCCAAAACGTTTGACCTTGGCATTAAAATCCCATACAAAAGGCTTCGGTTTTCCTTAAATGTCACTGCAATCCTTTTCTCCCTGGGAAAAAAATGAGTCCCTGCAGAAGTTAGGGCATCTTCTCTTTTGGCGATCACTCGTAGCTGAGTAAGATTGTCTGCCATGAACACAGTCTTAACGGTGTGTCCGTAGGTGACTGTGGAGGCCAATTCTGGATCCACACGTCCTTCCACAGTGGAGACATAGGTTTCCGGGCGGGAGTTGATCATGGTGAGGGTTTGCCAAATGTGCCTTCCCCTTAGCTCTTTTCTCCTTTTCGCCCAGAGTTTGTGCTTCTTCAAAGTCCATGACACCTTTGGTAAGTGGCCCATCTAGTCCAGCATCCTATTTCAATTATATGTCTTTGAGAAACAGGGCATCCTGCCTGTGAAACCCAGAGGCTGCATATAGCCATGAAGACTAGCTGCCATTGACGGACTGAGGGTGGAATTCAGCATTGCACTACGGAGATTGTTCCACCTGGTAAGCAATCCTTGTGCTGTTGGAACAATCTCCGCTCTCCTCCATGTCTTGTTCTGTGAGTTCTCCTGACTCTCCAGAGCAGATCTGCGGAGGATGCCGGCAGGAGTCCCATTGCACAAGCTTCCGCTAGCACAAATATTCAGTTGAATCTGACTCTTCTACAACATAAAACCCCTTTTCAAAGACTTGAGGTGCTGTCTGAAGAAGGACCACTTCCTTCTTGACCCTTCTGTCCTGTCTGCTCCATTTCGCTAGTATTGCACTAGCAGCGGCAAAGAGTACGATCATGTCAACTGTCACTGTTTTGTGGTAGGGAATACTAGTGAATTCAGGTTGTGCAATTAGTTGACCTGGTGCATTTGTGCAACAAATCTGCTTCCACTGAACAAACAAATGTGCTTCAACTTTTTGTGGGAAATGCACAGGGATGTGACTAATAGGAATTGCTTGATGCAACATCATATAACTTCAATGAGTAAGTGGCATATAAATTGTCAGGAAAGAGGGCATCTAAGTATGTCTTCATTAATTCATACCCAATTCCAAATTTTCCAGTCCCATTTCCTGTTGGCTGTGATTCTCCATCCTAGGTTTTTTGTTTTAAGGGAGAAGTCCTTTTTCCATTTTTCCCATTCTTTTTTCAAACCAATCTCCAAAAGCTTAGAGGCTTTTTCTTCTGTGTTCATGTCAGCTTGTACACAAGGCTCTTTCTTTCTCTCTCAGCTCTCTCTCTCTCTGCCATCTCAGATGGTTTCTTAATGTCTCTGATCATAATTCTATTCATCTCTTCCAACATAATTCTATTCATCTCTCTCTCTGCCATCTCAGATGGTTTCTTAATGCCTCTGTTTATAATTCTATTCATCTCTTCCAACATCACAACCACATCAATTTGTCTGTTTTAGTCCTCCAGAAAGCTTGTGTGGATATCCACTCCATTTCATCATGTGCTGTTTCTCATTTTGCCTGTATTTTCTCATGTTCAGGCCACATCATCTTCCACAGGTCCTGTGCATTCTTGAATCTGATGTCTCTCTGATGCATTCTCATTTACCATTCTGTACATCTCAGCCCTTAATTCTGTCAGTTGTTCATCTGGTAGTTGTCACATGATACCAACCATGGTCAGATAGTTGTTTATTTCCTTGACATCTGATGGGAGGGCATTCCACAAGGCAGGCGACACTACCAAGAAGACCCTCTGCCTGGTTCCCTGTAACCTCATTTCTCGCAGTGAGGGAACTCCCAGAAGGCCTTTGAATTGTGCTCGGAAAGGTTAGCCTTCAGGGCACCATGTCAGCAAAACTTCCCTTCTTTTAATTACTTTCGAGATTGGAAGCAATTACTACTTGGGTGGCCTATCTGCAAATTAATTCTCACCCAGAATGCAAATTGACTACTGTCATAAGAAGAGGCATTAATCAGGCTGAAAAACAAAGCGAAAAGTGTGTCCTAATTATCAGATTAGGAAACAGCCACTCTGGTTTGTTAAAAGTCTAAAAATATGATACAGCAAGAAATAACCTCCCTACAAACAAACAAATAATAATAATAATAATAATAATAATAATAATAATTTATTATTTATACCCCGTCCATCTGGCTGAGTTTCCCCAGCCACTCTGGGCAGCTCCCAATCAAGTGTTAAAAACAATACAGCACTAAATATTAAAAACTTCCCTAAACAGGGCTGCCTTCAGATGTCTTTTGAAGAGAAGATAGCTGCTTATTCTCTTCACATCTGAAGGGAGGTCTTTCCACAGGGCGGGCGCCAGTACCTAGAAAGCCCTCTGCCTGGTCCCCTGTAACCTCACTTCTCGCAATGAGGGAACCACCAGAATGCCCTCGGTGCTGGATCTCAGTGTCTGGGCTGAACGATGGGGATGGAGACGCTCCTTCAGGTATACAGGACCGAGGCCATTTAGGGCTTTAAAGGTCAGCACCAACACTTTGAATTGTGCTCAGAAATGTACTGGGAGCCAATGCAGATCTCTCAAGACCGGTGTTATGTGGTCCCAGCAGCCACTCCCGGTCACCAGTCTAGCTGCTGCATTCTGGATTAATTGCAGTTTCCGGGTCACCTTCAAAGGTAGCCCCACATAGAGCGCATTGCAGTAGTCCAAGTGGGAGACAAATCAGAATAAACGCTCGATATATAACTAACGACAACTAACCTTGCAATTTGGTGCAAACAACTCAGGATGCTTCAAAATAAGCAGGTCATCTGGAAGTGATCTAAGAGAAAGGGTTAGATGAAAAGGGAAGGGTCTAAGGCTATCCCTGCATACTAGCCATGGTGGTTATGAGTAGAAGGCAGCCTCTGAATACTAGTTGTTCTGAAGCCCTAGTGGAAAAAGTTCTGTTTCACTCTGATCCTTCTTTCCAGCTTCCATAGGCATCTGGTTGGTCACTGTGAGAACAGGAGGCTGAACTAGATGAGCCTTTGACCTGATCCAGCAGTCAGGCTTTTCTTATGCTCTTAGGGCAGGAGATGACATACCCAACACTAGCAGAAAACTGAGTATCATAGTAAGTTACTATCAGTCCCACAAAAACACAAAAAACAAGAAAGCACCAATGGCAGGGAAAGAAAGAAACCTGAAATGAAATTTATTCCAGGCTCAGTACATTTGGAAAGAAACCCTTCCTGGGGCTACATTTTTAGAAGCATGGGGACCCTGCACTAGTGACTTCTGTTCAGAAGTTATCCTGTGCCAAAATGTGTTGGGGGTGGAATGCATTTCGTTTCCTTTCAAGCCTCTGGAGTTCCTCTCTCTGCTTACCATCACTCCCCCGTCACTGTGGGGTCTTTTCAAAACTGTGTTTCATTTGTTTATTTATATGGGGGTGTATTCAATATAAGCTTAAGGTGCAATAATTTCTGCTTTCCCAACAGTACAACCCCGCCCTGCTAGAGCAGATTGGGGGGAGGTGAGGAGGTACATGGGGGGGGTCAGAGGTGGAAAGTTTTCTTGCACTAGTGGGACTCCTTGCACTGATTTCCACTAGCAAAACAAGCTAGTTGAACACAGCCTTTAGTATCTTAATTATCAAAATATTTGTATACTGCAATTCCATAAAATGCAATAAAAACCACACACACACACACACACACACACACACACACACATACAGCTGACTCTTATGGAAAATGTTTTCCTTAATTGCCTGCAAGCAAATAAAAGTTTTCAGCAAACTGTTTGAAAATTAACACAGAAGGCACCTGTAGAATATCTATTGGAAGAGCAGCAGGCCAATAATATTGAAGGTCCAGTTTCATGCTGATGCCAAATGGGCCTCACCAACTACGGGGACAAGCAGTGATGCTCCTACAATGATCTCAGTGTTGGTGTGCAAGCTGATAGGGCTGCCATTATTTGTATTTCTAGCTCCCTCCACCGAGACCCTAGAAGTTAAACTTCTGAGTGGTGAGCAGATGCCTCTCTTCTGCAGAGCAGATTAATAGATGGATGGATGGCTTGAATGAACAGATTCCCTGGTCTTCAGGGTAAAACAATGTCTAGTTTGGCTTACCCAAAACCCACTGTAAAAACCAATCGATCAGAAGATAAACACAGTAGTGGGTGAACAGCAATTGAATGAAAGCAGCAATCAAAACAATTCCAACATAGATTTAAAAAATATTAAATGAAAACCTGAGCGTTCCATAAACAGGGAGCACCAGGATGCTTGGTAGATAGAAATTTCTAGCATAGTAAGCTAAAACAATGCAGATCCTACTGACTTAAAAATCAGTGCAAGTCAGGCTTTTGCAGACTAGATAACACACTGTACGCAAGCCAGAGAAGATTCTTGCACAATGTGTAACATGAGGGACAGTGGGCGGGGGGGGGGGGTGCTCAGACCATGATCCGTGATGTGTGGATAGTGGCCTTGTGAGTATTTCACCTCTGATCTCTTGGAGACTATGCTATCTCCTTATCATACTGCCCCAGACAACCACACCTTTCTATCACAGTTTTTACAAAAGCAAGGGCAGCAGTTTTGTGCTAGTGACCACTATGATCATGTGAAAGGAGGGATGACCTGAGTGACTCAGGAGATTCACATGACTTGTGAGTAAAATCTACTCTACATCTGAGAAATTTGCCCTCTGGGACCGTTGCACAATGGGGACAAACATCTGTTTCCTTGCAAAACTCTTGTTTTTGCATGCAAATAAATAAATAACTGAGAAATGCATGTGAGAGAGACATAGGGTCATGTGTTCACTTACTCACTGGGTAAGTAGGAACTAAGAATGAGCAAATCTGTCAGTTTTGGTTTTTCTCAGTTTCTCATTTTCCCAGTCTAAAGTCCAGTTCTCCACCTTTCCAGGAAAATCTTTAAAAAACAAACAAACCTGAAGCAGACACATGCATACAAAGGAAGAAAGCAGCCCTCCCTCTTCTGCCCTGCGCTCATGCAACCCTACTAGGGCTTTGGATCGGGTAATTTCATCGCCTTTGAGCCTCCC